GACACAGAAAGGGCTGAACTCCTCAATGCCTTCTTTGCCTCAGTCTTCTCCGATAAAGAAAACAATGCCCGACCTGAAGAATTTGAAGCAAATGATTCAGCAAAGGAAACACAGCCCAGAATAACTAAGGAGATAGTACAAGAATACTTGGCTAGTTTAGATGTATTCAAGTCTCCAGGGCCAGATGAACTGCATCCAAGAGTATTAAAAGAACTGGCAGATGTGATCTCAGAACCACTGGCAGTCATCTTTGAGAATTCCTGGAGAACAGGTGAAGTCCCGGCAGACTGGAGGAGGGCAAATGTTGTCCCTATTTTCAAAAAGGGAAAAGAGAGGACCCAAATAATTACCGCCCAGTCAGTCTGACATCAATACCAGGGAAGATTCTGGAGCAGATAATTAAGCAAACAGTCTGTGAGCACCTAGAAAGGAATGCTGTGATCACCAATAGTCAGAATGGATTTCTGAAAAATAAGTCATGTCAGACTAACCTGATCTCGTTTTTTGACAGAATTACAAGCCTGGTAGATGAAGGGAATGCAGTGGATGTAGCCTACCTTGATTTCAGCAAGGCATTTGACAAGGTGCCCCATGATATTCTTGTCAAGAAGCTGGTAAAATGCGGTCTTGACTATGCTACCACTCAGTGGATTTGTAACTGGCTGACTGACCGAACCCAAAGGGTGCTCATCAATGGTTCCTCTTCATCCTGGAGAAGAGTGACTAGTGGGGTGCCACAGGGTTCTGTCTTGGGCCCGGTCTTATTCAACATCTTTATCAACGACTTGGATGATGGACTCAAGGGCATCCTGATCAAATTTGCAGATGACACCAAACTGGGAGGGGTGGCTAACACCCCAGAGGACAGGATCACACTTCAAAACGACCTTGACAGATTAGAGAACTGGGCCAAAACAAACAAGATGAATTTTAATAGGGAGAAATGTAAAGTATTGCACTTGGGCAGAAAAAATGAGAGGCACAAATACAAGATGGGTGACACCTGGCTTGAGAGCAGTACATGTGAAAAGGATCTAGGAGTCTTGGTTGACCACAAACTGGACATGAGCCAACAGTGTGACGCGGCAGCTAAAAAAGCCAATACAATTCTGGGCCTCATCAATAGGAGTATAGCATCTAGATCAAGGGAAGTAATAGTGCCACTGTATTCTGCTCTGGTCAGACCTCACCTGGAGTACTGTGTCCAGTTCTGGGCACCACAGTTCAAGAAGGACACTGACAAACTGGAACGTGTCCAGAGGAGGGCAACCAAAATGGTCAAAGGCCTGGAAACGATGCCTTATGAGGAACGGCTAAGGGAGCTGGGCATGTTTAGCCTGGAGAAGAGGAGGTTAAGGGGTGATATGATAGCCATGTTCAAATATATAAAAGGATGTCACATAGAGGAAGGAGAAAGGTTGTTTTCTGCTGCTCCAGAGAAGCGGACACGGAGCAATGGATCCAAACTACAAGAAAGAAGATTCCACCTAAACATTAGGAAGAACTTCCTGACAGTATGAGCTGTTCAACAGTGGAATTTGCTGCCAAGGAGTGTGGTGGAGTCTCTTTCTTTGGAGGTCTTTAAGCAGAGGCTTGACAACCATATGTCAGGAGTGCTCTGATGGTGTTTCCTGCTTGGCAGGGGGTTGGACTCGATGGCCCTTGTGGTCTCTTCCAACTCTATGATTCTATGATTCTATGATGATGCATTGAGGGCGCTTCAATACAGGAACACCTCAAAAGCATTAAGGGCATTGTCAGAGGGGACTGAGAGTGCGAGAAAAAGGAGCCGGGATTAGCCAGAACAAGTCATGGTTTCTTGGGTCATGTCTGAGACTGAAACTTGGCTTAATGCAGGCATAGGCAAACACGGCCCTCCAGATGTTTTGGGACTACAACTCCCACCATCCCTGACCACTGCTCCTGTCAGCTAGCGATGATTGGAGTTGTAGTCCCAAGACATCTGGAGGGAGGGGCGAGTTTGCCTATGAAGAGTTTTGATTTGATATCCCGCTTTATCACTACGCAAAGGAGTCTCAAAGCGGCTAACATTCTCCTTTCCTTTCCTCCCCCACAACAAACACTCTGTGAGGTGAGTGGGGCTGAGAGACTTCAAAGAAGTGTGACTAGCCCAAGGTCACCCAGCAGCTGCATGTGGAGGAACGGAGACGCAAACCTGGTTCCCCAGATTACGAATCTACCGCTCTAAACCACTACACCACACTGGCTCTCTGCCTAGCTTAATGTGAGCACAGGTCTCCAACACTGGCCACAACCAACCAGGTAGCTCTGGGAAGCTCAGGTAGTGAGTGTGTGAGAGGTAACAATTCCCTATAGTCTGTTCCACTCGCTATCAGTTATTGACAGGCCTGCCTCTCCTGAATTTGTCTAATCCTTTAAAAACCCTTCTAAGCTAGCGCAATTATCATCTACTGCCTAACGAAAGCACTTCCTTTCGTTTGTTCTCTTCTGTTCTCCTTCCTCTCTGTTTCCCATCCAAATTGCTCTCGCGGCGATTCCTCAGTAGTAATATGTGCATTCATTGCCAGTGGAGCCATGAGTCTTTTCTCACAGTAAATGAGCAGAGATGTACTAGAAGGGCATGCTGCTATTATTACGGCTGAATGGCTTGTGTTTCTGGGACTATTGCCCAGTAATAATAATAAGCAAACCTGGAGTGGAGCAGGGAAAGAGTACAGGCTGCCAACCTAATTATTCAATCAAAGAGTTTTGCTTGAAAATATGGTCTCCCTCCTGTGCCAGTTTAACGAAATGGCAGCAGCGTTCTGGCTTTGGAGCCGCAGAAGGCTTACAGGTGGGCGGTATTAAACATTAAGGGCCAAAGAAAATGGGCACTTCTTCTGAAGGTTTCATACCCTTTTCAGGCAGCTTTCCCACATACCAAAAAAAAAAGAGAGAGAGAAATATTAATATACCTAAATATAAACCTGCCATTCCCAGTAAGCACGCCAATGGCTGCCTTCATTTTGCTGTAACCTAGGGGTAGGGCATCTCTGGTCCTCCAGATGTTGTTGGACTACAGTTCCCATCCTTCTTGACTATTGACCTTGCTGGCTGGGGCTGATGGGAACTGGAGTCCAGCAATCTCAGAACACAGGTTTCCCTACTTGTAACCACATCTCCTTGGTGTCCCTTTAAATATTAAGGCTCCATTTATAGAACAGTTGGAGAAGCTTTGGACATGATTGACACGTTTAGGTGGGTGTACAGAAAGTGAAATTCTCCATACTTCCCCATTTCACACTTCTCTGCCGCATGCAAAACAGAGCATCAGATCTCTCCCAGTAATTAAATGCGCAACATAGGAAGCTGCCTGGGTTAGAGCGTTGATCTATCTAACTCAGTATTGTCTACAGTGACTGGCAGTGGTCTTCCAACATTTCAGACCAGGAGTCTTTGCCACTCCTACTGCAGATGCTGTGGGACCTCCTACATGCAAAATGGATGCTCAGCTACTGAGCCATGGCCCTTCCATGGGTTTCAGGTCTTAGAGATAACTTGGAAATCCAACCCTGGGGGGATTTGTGCAGCAGGAGGGCGACTCCCCAGCTGATTCCTCCCACCATTCCTCTGCGTCCAACCGGTCAATGACATTGGGCTTATACTGATTGGATACCAGTGTGTCCAGTTCACACGATCAACCAGCTTGCTGTTTGGTACTTGTGTGCACATGTGAGTGCACATACAGCAACTTCTTACTTATTTAGAACTTTCTTACCTGCTTTTCAGCTGAAAAGACTCCCATCGGACTGGCCCATTGGTGGGATTTGTACAACATCATGCAGGTGTTGCAGCATGATCTTTTGCAATAACCAGACAAGAGGCACGATGAGTGAAACTAAAGGCATTTCATGTGAAACAATTCAGTGGTGCTGGCCAGATTGCCCCATGTGCCAGATCCAATTGGATTTTTACATATGATGATGAACATGTGGTCTTCATGCTCAAATGAGTGTCAAAGTGTTGGTACTGACCTTTAAAGCCCTAAACAGCCTTGGCCCAGTAGCGTCTCCACCCCCATCGTTCAGCCCAGACACTGAGGTCCAGCGCCGAGGGCCTTCTGGTGCTTCCCTCCATGCAAGAAGTGAGGTTATAGGCAGAGGGCCTTCTTGGTAGTGGCAGCCACCCTGTGGAATGCCCTCCCTCCAGATGTCAAGGAAATAAACAACTATCTGACTTTTAGAAGACATCTGAAGGCAGCCATGTTTAGGGAAGTTAATATTTGATGTTTTATTGTGCTTTTAATTCTGCTGGGAGCTGCCCAGAGTGGTTTGGGAAACCCAGCCAGATGGGCGGGGTATAAATAAATTATTATTATTATTATTAATAATAATAATAATAATAATAATTATCCAACACTGTCCAGGGAAAAATATTTTTGCCCAAGGCACTATGAACTAACAAGAAAGCAGAATTCAGCATAGTAACTTAAACTCATCCATTGCCCAAACACAATACTTTGATAATATTTTCTGGATTTAGTCTACATATCGCTGCTTTTCTGCTCCCAGTCTGCAGGATCTCTCCTTTTTATTTTTTTTTTTGCTGAGGACTTACAAACAGTGCATTATCCCTTGGCTTGGCCTTAATGCAGTCCAATATGCCCCCATTCAGAAGGAACGTCTTGGGCGCTTGCATTCCCATGGCCATTGGGAAATCCATTGCAACCCTATGGCCGTTCGCAAGGAACCGATGCATTTCATTGGGCGTTTATTTGAACATGCCCCCTTCCCTTGGATCCAACGGCCTTTCGGTGTGATTCTTTTCTATTGTGTCCTCCGTTAGTATTGAAAGAGTTAAATGGCAGGCTGCCGCAGCTCAAACAGGAGGTAGGTGGGGCTGGGATATACGAAACACACAAGCAGCCTTCAAATCTACTCTTGCGCTGCTGCAGAACTGTCCACAGCTACTTGCAATATTTTCCTCCCTCGCGCAAAAAGAATAAAAGGAAAACACCCAAACAAACAAATAACGCGCCCCCCAAATCTCAGCAAAGGTTCTCTCTTTTGCCAAGAGCTCCTTAAAGCACCTGTGAACTTCCGGGCAAAAGAAAACAGTAACCACTTCTCTCAAAAAACAAACAGTCCTTTCTTCTTCCTCCTCCTCCTCCCCAAACAATCCTAGACCAGGAAGTGGGAGAAAAGTCTGAAATCCGGTTTCCTTTGCTGCGATCGCTGATGGCGTTGCTTGGGGCGACCCGGTTGTCCGAGGCGCGCAGCTGAAGACCCCGGAGAGCGCTTCCAAAAGGTCGCCTTGATAATGGCGAAGGCGCGCTTGGCGCAAAACGCCACCCTCGCGCGTAAAGAGAGCAGCAGCGGGTTTCTTTCCAGCGGGTGGTACTACTCAAACCAGGTAAGCAAAATGTTACACAGAAGTCTTCACCTCTGCCCTAAATAAGGGACTTTTAGGGCCAGAAGTGTGCATCTGGCACACCGATAATGTTTAATGTTGGCCAGAAAAGCAACAACAAAACCTCCGCAATTCCCTACTGCAAGATAGCCTCGTTTTGTCCCTCTCTTTGCACCCAGCACCATAAATGTATAGTCAACGTTACATACAGGACTCTTACATCAGAGAGGTGGTTGTGACGATGCTATAGGGCAAAGGAGAACCATTAATTCTTTGGAGGAGGGGTGCGCTAAGTGTGCAAACCTCGTGGGCAGTGTGCAAAAACCAACCAACCACTGGGACACCAGATACAACCAGAGGCTGTTTTCAGAGAGCGATTTGGCTAGTGGAAATGTTTCAAAATCTGGGTGGCTGTGGTAGGTCTTCTGTGGAGCGATAGGAATACGCGAAATGTGGAACCAGTGGTGTCAGATGCTGCGCCCTTTGGAATTGTGGGAAAGAGTGCAGGAAGGCAAAGAACTTCTCCTCACCTTCCCTTTCTATGGGTGGTAACGTTCTGCTTGCATGGCAGGCCTTCTACTACTGAGCTACAGCCCTTCCCTGAGGCAGTGACTAGTTCAAAATGACTTAGCCAATGAGAAAAACATTTCTCCTCTTCGTTCCCCAGGCAAAAGTGGTTTTGCCACCCTAATAACATAAAGTACATACATGGAGGTGACAGTGGCAGCTGTATCCTTCAGAAATGAAACACATGATGTGGCATCATTGCAAACAGTGTTCCTCATTCTCTTGCAAGGGGCAGACAGTGAGCTGAGGTGGGGGAAATGTTGAGTGTTATGATGTCAGGTCACACCACTTTTGTTTTACTGGATGTTACCATGGTGATGCACGGGAACGATGCTGTTGGCCATAGCTACGTCTACTCAGTAATGTCTAGTTAAGCCTTTTTTAGGACAGTAGAACCTTGGATTATTACCAAATGCTAATCAAACTGTAGAATGTGAGTAAACAGCATTAGCATTTTGAGATCAACTTTCTCTGGACCCAAAATGTGAACAAGGGCTCCAAGAGAGAAGTTTTTTGATGGCTAACCCCTCCATCTTGGGGACTTATCAAAAGTCTGAGATCTAGTTCCACCCAGACTGAGGTCACATTGCTTTGCATGGGAGTTCAGCACACGCTTAACCCTTGCTCATTAAAATCAGCAGGATGTAAATGTACTTAAATTTGGCTGGATTATGCCCACAGTATTATTTTTTAAATCGAAATTGGCATTTTATCTTCTTGGCTTTATCTTGTTTTTACTGTTCCTTTGTAATTATTGTGACATATGTTATTATTCTGAACTTCAGTCCATTGGGATGGAGTGTAATATACATGAAATAATTTTTTTGTGATGGTCTAGAGAGGTTGTTTAAATGCACATTTGGTGACTATTGTGTTGCCAGAGGAGCTAGGAAATGCTTGCATTTAGTATACATACATTATCCCATTGGTATTTCTGTTAATGCAAAGCAGAAACAAGAAACAACCTCCCTTTAGATCTCACATTATTTGTAAAGAATTCGTGCGAAAGCTTAATTGCGATATTTATTACACCAGATCTTATTATGTGTGTATTTATTATTTATCTTCCATGATCCTCAAAGGTGCTGCTATTAGTTACATAAGCTTTTTTAGGTGCCTTGCCCTTTTTATTATTGAAAATGATGATGTGGACTTAACCAAACCACACCTGATGAGATGTTTCTCTTTTTATGATAACACAGCATGGTACTGCCCTAAATTTTTCTTGTATGCTGTTGCTTTGTTAACTCTAGGTGATCCTCAACATTAGTAATACTCAGAGTAGACCCATTGAAACTGAAATCACTCCAGTTGATTGATTTCAGTGGGTCTGTTCCAAGTATCGTTGGATATAAGTAGATCTTGTGGGCATTTCAAATATTCTAACCTTGGTTTAGTTCAAGCCAGCTAATTTTTTTCCTCCAAACTTCTATAAAAATTCTGAATGGTTCATTCGGAAAGGTTTCAGCCTTGATATTTTTACGTGTCAAATCTAGTAAGGTACCTTATACAGTGGTACCTCAGGTTAAGTACTTAATTCGTTCTGGAGGTCCGTTCTTAACCTGAAACTGTTCTTAACCTGAAGCACCACTTTAGCTAATGGGGCCTCCTGCTGCCCCCGCACTGCCGGAGCCCAATTTCTGTTCTTATCCTGAAGCAAAGTTCTTAACCTGAAGCACTGTTTCTGGGTTAGCGGAGTCTGTAACCTGAAGCGTATGTAACCTGAAGCGTATGTAAGCCGAGGTACCACTGTATTCAGCAAAAGCTGGAAGACTTAAGCAATACAAAACTAAAGCTGGAATTAATCCAGGGTAGTTGTTGTTTTTCCTTTTAGGTGGTGCTTGGATTTAAACTGATCTGTTGCTTTTGAAATATAGTTAGGAGTCTAGGAAGTGTCATAGAACACAGATATTTGGCATGGAACCTTCATATTCTCTCTAGAAGAGAATATTCACTTCATATTCAGTCATGCTTAAGCCCATTTCCGCCAGCAGAAATAAATATCCGTAACAGGATTAAAACCCAAAAGTAGCAAGTTTCCTGTGTCACTGGTGTGATGTGGTGTCAAAGGAGAATTTACCTTTTCTCAGGGGTCACTTCCATGACAGGTGAACCATTCTTGGATTGTACAGCCAATTCTGATTCAGTACTGTCCAGTGGCACACCATTGTGGGCTGACGTTCATCTGGACTGTAGGCTCAGCTGCACTGAACTGGTGGACCCTATCCATTACATCAGAGCCTACTGGGTTTATCCTGTGGCAGTGTCTCTTCCATCAGGCTGGAAGCATATCTGAGCAGCAGGATATATACTGCCTAAATCATCTCTTGTGTACAGTGGTACCTTGGGTTACAGATGCTTCAGGTTACAGACTCCGCTAACCCAGAAATAGTACCTCGGGTTAAGAACTTTGCTTCAGGATGAGAACAGAAATTGTGTGGCGGCGGCGTGGCGGTAGCAGGAGGCCCCATTAGCTAAAGTGGTACCTCAGGTTAAGAACAGTTTCAGGTTCTTAACCTGAGGTACCATTGTATATGTATAATGTTGGTGCGATGAGAAAGGCCTGTTACTCTGCCATGCCAGGAGTGGGAAACCTGTGGCTCTCTAGATGTTGTTGGCCTCCAACTTTCAATAGCCACAGCCTCATGGCCAATCACTCAGGATGATGGGAACTGTAGTTCAACAACATTTGGAAGGCCGCAGGTTTCCCATGCCTGCGCTATCTATATCACTTTGTATTGACATTACGGAAATGTGGCTATTTGGGTAACACCGTGAGAGTCAACGGCATGTTCTTTTAGTTTTTTGATGACCGCATATAGCATAAAAATATTGAGTGTGCTGTTGGTGAGAAACAAGTGGGATCTGAAACAAAATGCTGTAAGTGATTTCATTGAGTCATGCCCTTTCTCTGGTTCTTTATCCCTATTGCTATAGAACCTTTGGCTATAAAACTATCTTTAGGGAGCTGTTTGAGTAGCCTTAGAGGAAATGAGCAGTCAATCTTGGAAAGGTTTTGTTTCAAGCTTAAGCAGTGAAGCTACGTTTATCTGAACAGTATGTTAGAAGTTTAGGAATGGAGCATGCTAGAAAAAAATCTACCCTCTTGAAGCAGAGGTTGTGTAACGCATCTCTTTAGATGGACAGAGTAACTATAGTATATCAGCATCTAAAGAAGCACCATTGTATAAATATTTCTACTCTGCTGCCTTGTGATTTTAAGGACTTAGAGAAAGAGAGCGAGAGGATGGCTGTTACAAAACAGCCTGGTTAGATTTGTTGCCTTAAGCTGCATTAGAAGGAAGGTATAGAAATGTGCTGTACAGTTGCAGGAGCGTCCTGCAGCCAATCGGAAGCTGTGACAGACATGCAGCTTCCAAAAATTGTTCGAAAACCAAAACACTCACTTCCGGTTTTTGATCATTCGGGAGCCAAAACGTACGAGTTCCAAGGCGTTCGGCAACCAAGGTACGACTGTACTTTGAATGTATCTCTCCTTGTAGTTTTAACCAAATCGAAAACTTTCTACATGTTGTTATATACTGTCCTTTATATATTTCTTTGAGAAAGCAATACCTGGAACAGATTTGTATACAGTTGCAAAACCTGCACATTTTCCTTTGGCAATAAAGTAATTGATGAGATAATAACATTCTATAGAGAGAACACTGTGTTTTGCCAAGTTGATTCAGAATCTTAAGCTCACGCTGGTTTTGCATACTTTTAGTCAGATTTGCATAATTTATATATATTTTTTCCGTTTTAGTGTTTGCTAGAAATCCAGAACTCTTTTATTTACTTGTTGAATTCGCATCCTGCACTTTCTCCCAAAGGAGTCCAGGGTGGCAAACCACAGATAAAATAATACAATTAAAAATCATTTTTAAAAAATAAAATACTTAAAGCAAATAAAAATATGTGAAACAGTCACAGATTTTCACACCCAATAATTTCAAGTTGCTAGGAGCTGTATCTTTCAGCCACTGAATACCTGGGGGTTAACAAGGATGTTTTAAAATTCCTCCTGAAAGTTAGTAATGAGGGAGGGAGACACATCTCACCAGGGATGGAATTCTACAAATGGGGAAGCACCTCTGAGAAGACCTAGCCAATGGGGAGCTTCCAATGAGAGACAACCGCACCCCAATTGGTTCCATTGCTGAACTAGTCCAGTATGTTGGCATTGTCTCACATGAACAACCAATTCTACTTTCTGTATGATTCGGGCGTGGGGTGGGAATCAATGTTGGCAGCTCCTTAGGATTCTCAGTCTTTTTTCTTCTTTTTCAATAATTTTCTTCGTGGGCAAGATGGGGAAATTGGGGAGCTGGTATGCAAGATGCGTACCGTAGATGAATATTCAGCATGTCTCGGGTACTTTTACCATTTAGGCTCTGCTGTTAGGGTACGGAAGAGTGTTTGTAAATAGCAGGCAACATAGCTCAGCCCTACCCTTGAAAGAGCAGGAAGTATTGCAGCCCCAATCCCCAGCAAGTTATTCTATAAATGAATGAAACTGTGTTCATATTTGCCTGCTGTTCCACTAATTATCTGTATTACTGTACACAAATGTTTTGTTTCTGCAGACTTTGCTCTTAGGCGTCTTGTTGGCAATCGCAGGAAACATTCTCATTAGCATCTCTTTGAATCTGCAGGTAAGAAAAATCTCCTTTGTATGGTGATTGGTAATGAGATCTAAGCAGCAAACTGTGTGCACAGGCTTCCAGCCATAATATTTAATGTTGGTTAATAGCGCACTTACATAACACAGCACTGAGCTACTGATTACCTTACAATATGCTCTGAGTTTTATTCCTCTGTTCAGACATAAAAGCACACTTAAAGTTCTGCGACTTTTATATTTAACTTGTTGATATTTGACTACACAACTTATTTTCAACCTTCTTCCTGTGAATTGTATTTAGTATTGTGATTTATTTGGGGTTTTTTTTGTATGCTACGCAAAAGTTCCTAAGCATAGGAGCCACCATATCAAATTTCCGTATAAACAAGAGCCACATCCCTGTGCCTCCTTAACAGTTGCCACATTTCCTTCTTTTCGGTCCCTATACTTTGCCCATATTAAGGCAAAACGTCTGAAAGTGAGCTGAGCATCGGCTTGCAGCGCAGAGCAGTGATCGGATTACCACCCTTCCATGAAATCAATGCTCACCACGCACTCAGTAATCCTTGTCCCGCAGTAAAGATCTTTTGACTACCAATTTGAATGTTACAGCTCCCATGTGGAAGCCAATGGAAATTGATTCTGTATGCGAGCGCTTGGCTTAATCGCTCTACCATTTGAAAGCAGCTTTTCATATCGCCACCATCCCCTCTCTTTCCTGTGTTCAGATTGTTGTTGTTATGATGATGATGATGCGTTCCTCACCAAGGCGGCCCAAAGCAACTTACCAAAATAGTATAAATACTATAACCAATTATAACAAAACACAACCAATAAAAGCCCAAAAAACACATGTATTCAAATATAAGTCAGGTCTTACAGATCCTGCACCACTAAAAGAAGCCACAAAACATAGAATTGTAGGGTTGGAAGGGACCACAAGGGCCATTTCAAATCCTCACAATGCAGAAATCTTTTGCTCAACATGGGGCTAGAACCCACAACCCCGAGATTCAGAGTCTCATTCTGTACCGACTGAGCTATTCCAGGTTCAAATATCTGAAGCCATTCAAATTAAGGACCAAAATCCTGGGTAAAAAGGAAGTGTTTTGCCTGGCAGCTAAAAACCAAAAATGTCTCAGGACATGTCTCCTTGTGGAGAGTGGGAAAGCCACCACTGACAAGGTGTGTTCTCATGTTGCCATCATTCTGCCCATTTAGGGCCAGGTATGTGTATGAAACGGAGGGCAAAACAGAGAACTGCATGGGGCCCACTGTGTCTGTCAAGAAGCTGTGCCCCTTCTGTAGCAGTTTAGTATAAAAAGGTAAAGGTAAAGGGACCCCTGACCATTAGGTCCAGTCGTGGCCGACTCTGGGGTTGCGGCGCTCATCTTGCTTTACTGGCCGAGGGAGCCGGTGTACAGCTTCCGGGTCATGTGGCCAGCATGACTAAGCTGCTTCTGACGAACCAGAGCAGCGCACGGAAACGCCGTTAACCTTCCCGCCGGAAGCACTTTGACGTGCTTTCGAACTGCTAGGTTGGCAGGAGCAGGGACCGAGCAACAGGAGCTCACCCCATCGCGGGGATTCGAACTGCCAGCCTTCTGATTGGCAAGTCCTAGACTCTGTGGTTTAACCCACAGCGCCAGTTTAGTTTAGCAGCTGATTAATGCTTTTCATTAGTAATACAATTTTTGAAAGCACTATCTCAGAGCTTATCCAGACTTACCTTTTGCCCCACTCTTTGCAGGCACAGGTCTACACTTAAAAACTTTGTGTCTGAGCGATTTCGGGTGGGGGTTTTTTGCCCCAAGCTTTCCCTGGGAAAACCTACTCTTTAAAGCTGAATTGGAGCAAATGCCAATTCAGGTTTTCTGCAAATGGATGTTTCCTCCAATTGAGCTTTAAAGAGTAGATTTTCCCAGGGAAAGTCCCAGGGCAAAAGAAAAGATTGCTTCGATATGGAGCTTTTAACCGTGGACTGTGCTTGGAAAGAGTGGTAAGTCTGGAGAAACCCTCAACGAATCGCAGACAATCCTAATTACTGATTGTGTGAACCAAGTTTCCTCTGTCCAGATCTAAATACAAATCTAAATAATTCCATTTAGAGCTTGCTGCCAAAGAAATCAAATATTAATTTTTGTCATTTGGTGGTCTCTTTGTACTTGTGGTTACATGCAGTTTCTCACCTTCCCCTCTTAAGTGAAGCTAATGTCTTATCAGTCTTATTCAGACTGGCACCTGGCTGGGTCTTTCATTCTTTTTGGTTTCTTGGCATTGACACCAGGATGTCCCTAAGAATTCGAAGAGTTTTCTGAAAAATTCATTATTTTGAAAGTAGCTCCAAAGTCATGCATTGCAAACCACCTACACAGAATGCTAACTTCAGTTCATGCTGTCATTTTTATTCCAGGGAGTGTTTATTTAGGGACTGGAGATTTATATAATTTCTTCAGCACTGATAGCAGGATGCACAAAGCTTCTGCAATGCCATATTGATGTCAAGTACAATATCTGTTACATGCATGCAAAGCCATGTCTTTCATTCACATGCTGTCCATCATATCTAACTTTTAGAAATACTGTCATATTCGACTCATACGTCAAGGCAGTCAGAAGCCCTTTTACAGAAGCAAGCTTTGGTGGTTCGGCATTATACTCATGGGGACTGGAGAAATTGGGAATTTCGCCGCCTACGGATTTGCTTCAGTCATGCTCGTTGCTCCATTAGGAAATGTGGCTGTCATAGGTAAGATGACCCGACCCCCGACCCCATCCCTTATTCATTGTCAAAGAACGAGCCAGAAATAACTCACACAGTTCAAAGTTGGAGTTAACTCTTTATTACCAAAAACACGACTTCACAGACTCAGCTAAGTGTCAGGTCTAATGAGCAAAGCAGCTCATCCGTGGTAGGTCTTACCTCATGAATCAGTTGCCGAGACTGACAGTCTCCACCTCCCCACAGCTGCCTTAAGTCTCCTCTTCTCCAGAATTTTTTCCCCAAGCAATCAGAGGCTATGCCTGTGTGCAGCCAAGCTCTCCTCCGCCTTTTTCATGCCTCTTCTGGTTCTGGGCATAGCTGTCAACCGTCCCTTATTTGGCGGGAAACTCCCTTATCCCAGCGCCGTGTCCTGCTGCTGTCCCTTATTGATGATGTCCCTTAAATTTCCCGGGTTTCAAAGGAAGCAGCTCCTCTCCCTCCCTCCCGGCCGGCCAGGGAGGAGGGAGGCTCCAACTGTGTTGCTTAGCTGCGTTGCTCACCCAATAAGGAGTCTAAGAACGACTGAGGGGGTGGAGCTTGCATGCCTTGTGCCGATCAAATCGGCCGCGTTGCCTGGGGACTCGCCTTTGCTCAGCGCTTCCCAGCGGAAAGGTGACGGTGGTTTTCCTTGCTGCATCCCCTTTGCCGGGTTGCTGCGCTGTGGGAACCACCGCTTGAGGCTTTGTTTGGCTGCTGGCTGGGCTTTCTGCCTTTGCCTCGGAGGGGCTCAGAAGTTGAACATACCTGTGCCCAGAAAATCCCTTATTTTGGCTCCTGATTCCTTATTTTCGAGGCTGCTGGTCCCTTATTTTCAAATCTGTAAGTTGACAGCTATGGTTCTGGGAGTCAAGGGGGGAGGGCAGGAGGGGGAGACCCTCATGACTTTTCACCAGTCCGACACATTCCTGCCTCTTTGCTGCCTCCCTCCAACTCTCTTGCTTCAGCCTCTGCTTCTGAGCCTGGACTACTTCTCTCTGCCACAGATTCTCTCAGCTCACTAAGGCCTGTTACGTCTTCATCTTTGAACACCTCCTCTTCCCAGTCTTCTCCCTCTGAGCACTCATTGTTGTTCTGCCACCACTCCCTGGGATTTGAGCCTTCGTCCCTTAGTGGTTCCCCAGCTGGCTCCTCCCACCTTTCCTCTGTGACATCCATGGAGATTTTTCTTTCAGTTATTTGAGATAATTGCACAAATGGTTAAGGAAAGTTAAGAGACATATAAGAGAGATCCCTGGAGAGAGATATTTGCTAGAAAAGGAAGTATTCCAGTGGAAGGGATGTGCTATAAAATCTCTGCGCTTTTTTTAATATTATAACATTGTCTTGGATTCCAAGATGCTGTTGCATGAGCATACTGGATCATGGGACAGAACAGCTTTCCCCAATATGGTGCTTTCCAGATGTTTTGCGCTATAACTCCCACCATCCCCAGACAACATGGCCAATGGTCAGGGGTGATTTGGAGGGCTGCAGGTGCGCCATACCTGCTCTGTTTGTATAGCTTTGTACCAACATTATGAAAACTGGCTATTTGGGTGGTATTATAGGATTCAATTGCGTGGACTTTTCATTCTATGATGACTGCATATATGGCATAAAAATATTGATAGGCCTGTTAGAGAGAAACGAGTGGCACCCACAACAAAAAGTGTAATTTGCCTGTTTATGATTCTATCCAGTCATGCCCTTTGCCAAGATATTCCATTTCTTTTAACCCTCAGCTTTCTGACTCCCCCCTCCCCAAGTTGAACAGCATTTCTACTGAGCATGCGTCATCCTCATGGGGCTGTTTTGAGTTCACCACTACCATCTGTAGGGTTTACCCCTTTAAATATATGCTGCATACTAACATACATTAAGATTTCCCAAAGTCTGCTGATAGCTTCCTCTTGTGTCTGAATAGCACCTTTTCAGACGTCGTTAGTGTCTATGATGAAGATGAGTTCTCATGACTAATTCCAGCTGTGACAGCTGTGGGAAAAGCCAATTCTGGGATGATATCTGTCTGCTTCAGCCTGTACCAAGCCAAATTCTGCTTTTTGCTATGTCACAGTTAAGTCAAAGGGTGCAAATGACTGGCTCCATATAGACAGGGTACTTTTTGTGTCGGGGACAGAAATGCTTGAGCAAATAAACGCTGTGTCAGTTAGATAATCGTTATAGCAACTGTCTTGGTACCTTGGTGATATTTGAAAGACCCAGCGTCAGTTTCAGGCCTAGTTTTTCCACACAGAGTATAAGAATTTCAGGGGGAAAGTTTGTCCCTTTCTCCCAGTGGGGGGGCTGTTTTTCATACCAGAGCATTCAGTCATGTGTTCCCCATCCCTCCCCAACCACAGTCTGAAGTGGTACCAGTGAGACAGAAGTCTACCACCATGAGGCATCATTGAGAGAAGTAATTTATATTCTAGGTGGGTTCATTTCCCCCTGCCTCAACACACACACGCTATTTTTCAGTCAGAGAGCTGCAGTGTTACAAGCTGTTGCTTGGATACTAGCACTTTCTGCTCACGAAAGCTGTCATCCTAATATTTCACATGAAATGGTAATCTTAAGTTGATGGGTTTCTTAAGTGCATTTCAAGTAACTCCTTTTTAAAAAGGCCTTTGCTGTTATTATCTTCGTCATAATTTATACAGCCCCCAGTAGCTCGTTATAGCAATTATACTTAAATTATTTCTAGGGAGAAGAAAGTTATGTGTCCTCGGGGGGATGTTTCCTGCTGATGAAGCAAGTGTACACACTGCTGTTTATCTCTTTTTAATCCCTTGATAGCATTTGAAACAGGACACTGATTTTAACAAATGTTTTGCAATGCTTGGAAGAACCATATGTGAGTTTTCTGCTGCAAATGCCATTTTCTTCATTGGCTGTTTCTATGGGTCATTGACACAATGGAAATATGCTAGATTTACTTTCATTTTTTTGAAAAGAGAAACTTTTTAAAATGTTCCATTAGACAAAAAACTCGCTACAAATACAACACAAGCCCACTGGGTAGTGGGTTGCACCAGAATATCTGTGCTGTTTATTTGTACTACTTCAGGATTTTAACCACTTCATTTTGCTGCATTTGTAAATTAAGCAAGTCTCTGTGGGGCTGAGATACTGCCTGAAAGGAATTTCCCATGGTGCATAATTCACATCCCTGTTGTGACGTGTATATGTACCACCTAACAAGGTCTCGTAAGAATGTTCTTGAGGTGTGACCACAATACAGTGGTACCTCAGGTTAAGTACTTAATTCGTTCCGGAGGTCCGTTCTTAACCTGAAACTGTTCTTAACCTGAAGCACCACTTTAGCTAATTGGGCCTCTTGCTGTTGCCACGCCGCCAGAGCCCGATTTCTGTTCTCATCCTGAAGCAAAGTTCTTAACCTGAAGCACTATTTCTGGTTTAGCGGAGTCTTTAACCTGAAGTGTGTGTAACCTGAAGCGTATGTAACCTGAGGTACCACTGTAAAAGGGAATTAAATTCTATTGAGCAATGGGAACCACAAAGCCCCTGTCCATGTATGGCAGGGATTAGAGTTGGAAAGAAGCAGAAATGATGGTGGGAATGGCACATATCAAAGCCTGTAAAGTCATGTGGAAGGCACTGTTGAAACTCCACAACCATTTGTTGCCAGGAGGGTGCCCAAGTTATGTATGCACAAGGAGAAGTGGGTAGTATTAGTGGCAGTTTAAGAGCCCCCAAATAACAGTGTTTGAGGGATGTGCTATGCAGAGTACTCCTTTCACAAGCCCTGTCTCTTGGATTGTAGCCAATTTTCCATGGAATTATTATTATTTTTTTTTAAGTGTGTGGAAGTAAACTAGGAGTCTAGTTCCAGCACCAGGATTTGCCAGGATTATATTGCTGATGTGGAGGCAAATGGGTGCTTTTCTTGTTATTATTGTTAAGCAATGTTATCGCAGGCGACTTCATCATCTTTAATATATTCTCTTATTACGTAACATTTAACAATGACTGTTTGTTCCCCAGGTAGTGCAGTTATTTCTGTCTTATTCCTAAAAGAGTACATAAGATCCGAAGGTATATTAGGTAAGTAAATGCTTGCTGCCAGTCTAATACTTGGAGTGCTGTTTTGATAGGGGAAATAATGCTGCATTAATAACAAGATATATTTATGCCCCCAACATTTGTCAGCTGGAGATAAATATGCTTATTTTAAAATAGGTTGGAACATAGTTTTAATAATAGGCAGGGTCATCCAGTTTTGCTCCAAAAAATGTTATGCAAGCCTGGATTTTAAACCCCAAAGTCCATTGAATCTATTTTTTTCTGGTAAGTTTTCTTCCTGTTCCAATCATAGACTCATAGAATTGTAGATTTGGAAGGGGCCACAAGGGTCATCTAGTCCAACCCCCTGCAATGCAGGAATCTTTTGCCCAATGTGAGGCTTAAACACACGACCCTGAGATTAAGAGTCTCATTCTTGACTGAACTGTCCTAGGTAGACTTTTATCTGTATCAATTAAATGGGCATTTTCTGTTTATGCTCATGTTTTTGCTTCCAGTTTTTAAATTGGGAGATAATACTTCAATATTTTACATATTTTGATATGTTTGACAACAGTAGGAGTCCTATCAAAAACAAGGCATCTAATTGCTTGATCATTCTGCTCACAGCTCTTTTAATGTTGATATTTGCACACAAGCTCTTTTTTATAACATTAAAAAATAGTAACTGTTTGTTCCTTTTATAGTAATTTGGTTATTTCCAAGAGCATTTCAGCAATGTTTTGCTGGCACACATGATCTCAGTTGCACAAAACACTGGACTTTATGTCTGCCTCAAAAACATTTTTGCAAATTAAATCTGCCTTGCTCTACGGTTCGTTTATTAGATATGTGACTAGTTCCAGCAGATATTTTGGTTGCTTTATGTAAGACAATGAGTCTATAGCTATTTTTGGCATTTGAGATTACTCTGGCCAATTGCTACATAAATGTTGTTGACATATTTGAGATGGCTGTGATTCTCAAACTTTGTCACAATGCTTATTCCCACAGCAGCTGTCCATAGTCATAGTTCTGCTCATGTGCTCTAAAACTCAACCAGAACACTAGGATGTATTCCTGGGAAAAGTATTGTTTTCACTCACTAACCTTCACCCAACAAAAAGCTTTGGCACCAAATTCAGGAAACCAGCTGGGCAGACAAGTCAGCCCATTCTGGTCTTTGTCTTCACTAAGATTATGGATGGGTCTACCACAATGGGATGTGTCATTTCAAGGGGGTGAAACTTGGTTTTTGCAAATTTATTCAGTGAGGGGGTTTGGGGGCGTGAGGAATTCAAATATGCTATTATTTTTGTGACTGGACAACATTTAGCATGGCAAATCTTCATTTGATTAAAAAGCACATCAACTACTCTTGGAAAACCAAATAATTTTAATTTTACCTTCTGAAAATGTTGGGTAATGCTGTAAAATTTTTAGTTTTTCTGCATAAAGCACATGCTACTAAGGATACACTGTAATCATAAAACAACATTAGAAACTAATGACTTCAGCTAATAAGAAATTTAAATAAGTTTCATTAAGTCTTGCTTTGATTTGCTCTTGGACATCAGCCTCTGACTTGCTTCTTGGCCTGATTTAGCCCTCACATTTCTTATGTCCATATACCCTGGCCGTTGCCTCTGCAACTTGTTTCACACATCTCTCTATAGACTGAACATGATAGGGCCACTGTGGAATTTGCATGGGCTCGTCAGTGAACTTCTCTACTTCCTCTGTAGTAAGTTTACATGTCAAAGGAGGTTCATATATCCTGTTAGACCAGTCTATCAGCTCCAACAGGGACAAAGCACTGGTGAAAGGTGCCTTTCTAGACATACAGAAAGATCTCCCAGTGTTTCATCATCTCTGCCCCTCAGGTCAATGATCTTCTGGGCACCAGCTCTCCTCTTCTCATTGTCATAGGAGCATGAGAGTGTATGGATTATTTCACTGAATGCATACCATGCTGAGCGCCAGGCAGTTGTCAAAACAGCATCTACCACAGTCTTCTTTTGCAGCCTAACTCACCACAGCTGAAACAAGAAGTGGTGTGGGCCTTCTACTCAAGGAGTGTTTTACTTTGCTGTTGAACCAGCAGGGGTACTACACACAAATGATGTATTCTATTAACAGCCTTTAAGCTGTTGCGGGATTTGCCTTTAAAGCCATTGGAACATTGGAATATGCAGCAAAACCTGTTTGCTGTTGTTAACCACCTTGAATGGCTCACTGGACCAATTTCAAGAAGGGCCAAATCCATGGGAAGGTTTCCCTGTCCTTACGGCCTATATGATCCAGTACCCATATGCTTGATCTGTAGACAGATCCCTTATGACATTGTCACTCAGTGAAGCAAGAGGCTCTCTAACTGGGAGTTTGGTGGGTGAAGGATCAATTTCAAATTCCATAGCAATGTCTAGCAGTGATACCTGTCCACTTGCTGTTAGACAAGGTCTTCCCATCAACTGCTTGTGAACAAGTGCCACAGAGGTAATTTGTTGGTGTGGAGGGTTCAAACCAGCCAGATCAGTTTACGACCAAGCTTGACCTCTATATGATATATATTAGTAAAAATAGCATACAAAATGCACTATATTGCATATAACTCTTTCCAAAAAATGTGTATGTCAGACAAAAATTGTGTATAGTAGGGGATATTTGCACTAAAAGGCTGGTGGGTTTTCATGAGGCTGGTTTTTGTTTTTGTTTTAATTGTGAACAAGTATGTGGAGAACTGAATTTCAGATTAGAAAAACAGGAAACAGGGAATAACCAAAACTGACAGAATTCACCCATCCCTAGTGACGATTTGCATACTTTTTGCCTACGCAGAAGTGCTATCTGTGTGGGAATGTCTATCTTGTTTGGAGTGCCTGTCATTCGTGCAAAATGAAGAGGATGACTGGGCTCCCTGCGCAAATAAGCAGGCAGATGATGCAGGCTGTTAGTGTAATGATTGTATGGTAATTGCACAGCTGTTGTGGGCGTTTGGAGAAAGAAATTGAGTGCTGCTCCAATAGCCCTATAATATTTAGTTATTTGGTCCAAGTGATACATGGAGAATTCATCCCTCAGCTGATCATGTTCCCCTTCAGTCTTGTACGCTGCACAATGTTTTAACTAGAGTTCTGGGCTGATTTATTTTATTTCTGCGAGTTTGTCTTTGCCATGGAGGTTTTTTAACAATGTTGCTGCATTCCATTGGAGTTAGCTGTACCATGGCAGATACGGTGATTGTTGGGAGGTTTGTGCAAATACATAAATATAGAACACTGTGGGGACTGTTCCCCCCCACCTCTAAATTGCGAGTGTGCTATTATGTCCCATTGATGTTCTTTGCAGTAGTCTGTGCCCCAGAAACTCACGTTCCACATTGATTTATTGATTTCTTTTATTTTATTTTTATGGGATGGGACCTCTAAAATAAAATTAAAAAGCAGCCTAGAAACCGCATAGACCAATTTAAAATTGGCATTTGGCAGCACCGAAGAACACAAGACATACTCATGAAGAAAAGCACATGTCTGTATGCACTTGCACGTTCAAGAACACTCTGTCACAAGCCCACATCCTCTTTTCAATGAATGCAGTTACCACACAGCCCTTCCATGAGTGATGTAAAGAAAGAAACTGCTACCGAAGGAAGGGGAGCAGAATTCCTCACTTTCCTGTGCTGCGATCATTAATTTTCACACTGCTCCCCGCTTCCCTTGGAAGTGATCTTGAGATATCAGAGTGCTTTCTGAAGGCTCTGTGCATACATCTTGCTGCCTGGGGAAATCCGCAGAGTCCGCAGGCTTAAGGAAGAGTTCTGGCCACTTGCAGAAGCAGTAGCTATTAGTGGTGAGAGGTAGGAGGGCAATGTAACTATCCCAAGGCATCAGAGCTGTGCTATGCAACTACCAGCTCTGCATTCAAACAACTGCTACATATGCGGTTGCATCCCTGATTTCAGTGATATTTACTTTCCCCCAAATCCAAATGACCCTCAGCCCACAATTAAGATACCTGGCCCGGCATGTGTCAATGTTTCACATCATCCTGGTGTCTAGAGGCAGTATTATGACAGAGGGTTAGCATACCAGATGATGCTAACCAGTTTGCACCAGGTAGATACAAATACTGGACAATGAGACTACCAGCATGTCAGAAGGAGGATGGTTCAATGAGTCACTGTGTCTTGCTGTTAAGCAGAAGGTTGGTGGTTCGAGCCCACCCAGGGATGGCTGTGGACAGGATTCCTGCATTGCAGGGGGCTCGACCCTTAAGGTTCCTTCCAACTCTACAATTCTGTGGAATTGTGTTCTGAAATAAAGTTAAAATGCAAGCAACAAGAATCGAAAACATGCAAAGCAGAACGGAAAGACCACCAAATTAGAGGAAAGGGAAGTTCATTGATTATATTACTTGGTATATCATGGGTAAACTTGGGGAGTAATATGAGTAAAACTGCCTAAGACAGTTTGGATGTATATGCCGCCGAATCATAGTCAGGAAAACAAATGCTCTCATTTCTGCAGTCCTGGTAGTAAAGTCCATTGAACTTGGTGAGTAATATGAGTAAAACTGCCTAAGACAGTTTGGATGTATATGCCGCCGAATCATAGTCAGGAAAACAAATGCTCTCATTTCTGCAGTCCTGGTAGTAAAGTCCATTGAACTTGGTGGACTTCTGAGTAGACATGCATAGAATTGTGCTGCCTCTGTGGTTGGAATGTGACCAGGTCATAGGAGATAAATGGAGTTTGTGCATAATCATGGTCTCCTAAATTTGATCAAACTGCTGCTGTTTAGAAGGTTCACTCTGGAAACTTCCAGTTACGTGTTTTGTAAAAAATAATAAGAAGAACAACATGTTTGCCTACATGTATTTATTTTGAAAGGTGGAACTGTGACGATGGCAGGAACATTTTTGGTGGTGACCTTTGCTCCCCGCGTTACCCAGGAAGTCACGGCAAGAAAGATACAGAATGATTTAGTTAACTGGCAGTTCCTGATTTATGTGGTGAGTACAGTATGCAAAAGTCGCTGTTTGCAAGTGCTGTGATTCTGGAACCCAGCCAGTTGTGCCTCCTTCCAGCATCCTCCAATATAGTCCACCTTCCCCTCTGCGCAACAGTCATTTGGCATTCTGTGGCCATTGCCGTTTCCACAAGTCCACTGCTACTTTCCTGTTGTGCATGGAAGGTACCGTTTTCGACCACATAACGATCAGCACTCAGAGAATGAGTTCCCTCTCAGTATAGTCATACCTCAGGTTACAGATGCTTCAGGCTGCGTTTTTCGGGTTACGGACCGCTGAAACCCGGAAATACTGGAATGGGTTACTTCCGGGTTTCAGCGGTCATGCATGCGCAGAAGCGCTAAACCGCGCTTTGTGCATGCGCAGAAGCACCGAATCGCAACCTGCGCATGCGCAGACGTGGGTTGCGAACGCTGCAGGTTGTGAACGTGCATCCCATACGGATCTCATTCGCAACCCGAGCATTCACTGTACAGGGTAATTCAGGCACTCTTGGTTTGCAGAGTCAACAGGTATTTCTCGTGTGGGAACCGATTGTTCTTTCGGTCAAGGATGTTCCTGTTTGCTTACTTCAGCTTCTACTCCTTCCACATTCCTTGGGTCAAACGGAGTGTGAATTTAAGAGTGCCTTTCCAAACTATAGGGAAATGAGCATAGAAAAAAAGGCAAGGCCGCCTCCGCAGTTAGCTAAAGGCTAGTGTAACAAAACTTTTTTTTCTACATGTAGTGTAAGTTTGGGTTTGATACGTTTTATGTAAAATGCTCTCAAATGAGAGAGCTGGCCCAGAGATTCTGCACTAGCTGCAGAAACTGACTCTGCAAAGGCTGCCTTGGACTTTCTGGCATTCAAGAAAGGGTGAGAGTAAATTCATACTTTTAGAAGCATGGCATGACGTGCTAGATGTCAGAGAGGGAGGCTCTGCTTGTGGTGGCCTTTGAGTGGAAATGCCTGTTTATGGGAATCTTGACAGAATGGAAAACATGATTTATGAGTCAGGAATGCATAGGATTCAGGGTATAGTTCAGCACAGACCCTTCATGTCTTGTAATCCACCCCTGAAAGACAAGAGGAGTTTGTTTTTAGTTTTTTTGTGGGAGAAAGACTGTTCTAGGTGGATGAATTAAATGTAGCTCAAAACTGTTTCTTTACTCACATCTGTTCAGAGGTCCTTAATCTTTGGGGACTGGTGAACGCATCTGGAATTTTGATAAAGTGTTGTGGGCGCTGTCACAAAATGGTTGCCATTCATAAACATGCTATGGCATTTTAAAGCAGTATCAGAATCGCTTCTGTGATCAACAGCATGCAACGTTTCAAACTTCAGTTGCATATTCTGGCTTGAAAATACGATTGGTGAAAGCACAACTCTGCAACTTCTTGGTTAGTTCTATAAAGGGAAGGAAAGGGAAATTTGCATATCAGAAGAGGGAAGCCAGCAAGCCCATAGCACACTCAACAATTTCCTAGCCGTCATTAAAAGCCTGGAGCCAAAATATCCACTATTCTGCTTTTGTTTCCCCATTATTTTAAGCAAGCGCCTTGCCCAGCCAACATGTCCAGTGTCGTTTCTTTGTCAACGAATAAAAAAACTTTCTTAAAATCATGGACTTGTTAGGGATAAATACCTTTCCTCACCTTCTAAAGCTTTAGGCTGCAGTCCAGGGAAGCACTTAGAACACCCATTTGAACATGTTTTCAGAACATTTACTGGCGACCTATTTTTTTTCTGCAAGAAGTAAAAAGGGGAGTTTCCAAATGTAACTTGCTGCTCTTTATTGACTTGAACAGATTGAGGGCAATTTTAGAATTTTAAACCTACAGTTCCAGATTTGGAAGCTGGGATACCAAGGAATGCCCATACCTGATTGGCTGTTTTATTTATGTATTTTCTTTAGGTTTTATTGTTTGACCATAAGCCATAACAAAACTGAATATGCAGCACAGATGTCTAAAATCATAATGGAACAGAGTAATCATATAACAAAACACAGATGATTAAAATCAACTGTTTTTTTAAAGAAATGAATCTAACCACATGCTTTTCTGTGCAAATGAGGAAGAGGCAACTTTTTCAGTTACCAAACTCTCCTTACTCACAGGAAATTAAAAAAAGGCTTCAGAAATAAATATCAGTAATAAAAGTTGAAAAGCAAGATTCCCCCCCCCCACATAGTGGGGGCTCTTCCCCACCTTCCCTGGGGTTCCTTAAGAAAGACTTGTGTGCTGGGAGGGAAGGCAGATGAGGCCAGGAAACCTGTGCCATCTGCTATTGTAGAAGAAACCTAATTGGTAGTACTGTATTTTCCCATAGCTGAATGCTAGAACATCTCTTTGCATGCAGATCCTTGGTTTAATCCCCAGCATCTCTAAGTGGGGCTGGGAATGTTCCCCTGCCTGATACCCTGGAGATCCACTGTCAGTGTAGGACCAATGGTCTGACTCAGTACTGGGTCCCTATGCATCTCAGAGAGCCGCTGCTCGTAAGAGTGCAACAGGGCTTGGTGGACAAATATTCTTACTCAAAACAGCTCAGCGATATAGAACAACTCTTTTGCCTGCAAAAGATCCAAGGTTCAGTTTTCCTCGGCATCTTCAGGTAGGGCTGCAGTGACCCTTGTCTGAAACTCTTGGAGATCTGCTGCCAGTCAGTGTAGACAATATCAAGTTAGATGGACAATATCAAGTTAGATGGACAATATCAAGTTAGATGTGCAGATGCCTGATTATCGTCTTCAAAAGCAACTACTTAAAAATGGAAAGCATAATGCTGCTGGTCAACAAAAGAGGTTTAAAGACTCTCTCAAGGCAAATCTAAAAAAATGTAGTATAAACACTGACAACCAGGAAATACTGACCTGCGAGCGCTCCAACTGGAGAACAGCCTTTACCAAAGGTGTTGTGGGCTTTGAAGACGCTCCAACTCAGGATGAAAGGGAGAGATGTGCTAAGAGGAAGGCATGCTTGGCAAACCCTCACCATGATCAACTCCCGCCCGGAAACCTATGTTCCCACCGTGGAAGGACGTGTGGATCCAGAATTGGCCTCCACAGTCACTTAGGGACCCACTGTTAAAACCATGTTTATGGAAGTCAATCTTACTTGGCTACGAGGGATCGCCAAAGAACAAAAAGAAGATGGACCAATGGCCTAACTCTGTATAAAAAAATTTCCTGTGTTCCTATGTAAAAGGGCTTGACGGGTGAATAGTATTACCTAGCAGAAGGGAATACTAGGTAATACTATATTAGGTCAGGGCCAGCGCAAAAGAGTTTTATGTATGCATACCCACCGCTTCCAGGTCAAAGAAGCACCCACCACATCCCAACATCTGCACTGGAAAGTGGAAATTCACCCCATGGAATGTGTCTACTAAGCAGCAATCTCTGGCCCATATGGAAGCCGCTTTGGAGCGGGGCTGCAGTGCATGTGGGGGTGTTGCTGGTGATTATGAAGCTCCAAGCCCAGTCTGCGTGCAGCGTTAAGGAAATCTCATCTGCAGAATGTCTTGCAAAGCAGCCTCTCCTCGCGTACCATTAACTCTGCTGGTATATTTTTCTTTTATGCAACCTTTTGACAGGTAGTTGGCTAGGCAGTGATTGAAAACCAGTGCAGAGTTACAAATGCATTGCAGGTGTTCTGAGCAGAACTGCGCGTTCAGTCCAAGTTTTATTGATGAGGGTGGAGGAACAGAAGAGTAAGTGAAGGTAATTAATGCAAGTGGTAAGTAAGATAAGCCATAGATTGGGCTGCAATCTTCAAGTCACCTACAGCAGAGTAGTCTCGTTGCAACTGGAGGATGGCAGGCACTGCTACGTATAGTGGTGGCTCAACGTGATTATACATAGTTAAAATTGGATGCCTTTGCTTGCCAGATTATTACTGCAAGAACTCTCTCTCCTCTCTCCTTTGTTTTAAATCTTTTCAAGGCTGTAAAAATAAAGTAGGCACTTGAAAGGGTAAGAGAACTAGACAGCAAAATGTGAACATTTCTTAGGAAAGGTTTATAGGAATAATTGTTTGATAAATGGTGGTGAGGTTACCCCTCTTACTCATCCCTTTAAAGGGGGAGATAAGTATGTGACATCTTGTTAAAGATTTTGTCTGAAGCTTTTATTCTGCATTTTAGCAACTTAAGCCTTTTACGCTTTTTCTTTTCAGATCCTGGCAGTAATAGCATTCTGCATTCTTTTGTATTTCCATAAAAGAAAGAAAGTGAATCACATTGTGATTTTGCTAACAATGGTAGCAGTGCTAGGTAAGAATACGGCTCGTCTGCAATGTTTTGTGCTGATTTTGTGCACATTGTTCCTTTGTTCTCTTTTATTTTGTGGTGGCTGATCCCGAAACTTCTTGCAGGGCTCCAGAATTTTGCCCCCCTTGCCCCACTTCTTCATGCTAACTTATGTGGGTCTTGAGTATCTATGCAGCAGAATGCCACATTAGATATTGGTTCTACGTCAGGCTACAGGTGGAGAATACCGCTGTTGAATCCTATGCCACATCACAATCTCTTTGTGAGTAGAAAGCTAGAGCACAGAAGAGGACAGGTTCCTGCTGGCTTTCTATTTGCAGGGAAATTTTAAGCACAGATGAACATCCATAAATTGTATGTCCAGCTTGCAGTCTGAAGAGTGCAGACCATTCAGTCAAATCAGAACTCTGTCCACATCTTTCTGCTGCAAATATACACTTGGGGAGAGATTATACGTAGGGCAGTCAGTTCATGGAACATAGGTGCCAAGACTCCACTGTTGCCTTCTCTGAGCTATGACATGTCATGAACATTTGCCCCACTGAGCAGCGGCGTAGCGTGGGTTGTCAGCACCCGGGGCAAGGCAAGTAATTTGCGCCCCCTAACCCGGGGCAAGGCAAGTAATTTGCGCCCCCTAACCCGGGGCAAGGCAAGTAATTTGCGCCCCCTAACCCCTAACCTGCCGCCGCTGCCAGCTTCTTCTTGCTGCTGCCTGGGCTGGTCTGGTGTGGTTCTTTCCCGCGCTCAGCGCTGCACTGGGCGGCCGCTGCACTGTCCCTCCCCCAGATAGTCCCTCGCTCTCTCTCCGCACCGCACGCCTGGCACCCACCCCCTCCACAGTGGGCGGCGACCCAGCGGCTTGGATCGGATTCGCACAGCCAGCACTGCAGTGAGAGAGAGTGAGTGAGCCAGGTAGGGGCAGAGAGCTGCGAGTGCGAGCGCGCCCCCCCAGATGTTGCGCCCGGTGCGGCCGGCCCCCCCTGCACCCCCCACGCTACGCCACTGCCACTGAGCATTTCTGGGGATGCTCCTTGATCCATCTTTGTCACTTGAAGCACATAGGGGCACAGTGGCTAGGGATACCTTTTATCAGCTTTAGTTGGTAAGACAGTTATGGCTGTTCTGGACCACTTGATCCCAGAGAGAGTGAATTAGAGAGTCTGTCTGAAATTCCTTGTTGCTTGAAAAGAGATTTCGACCAGCACTAGCTGAAGTAAACAAACCAATAACTCAAGCATAAAAACCCAAGCCTATCCAAGCACTTTGTGGAAGTGTATATAAGCTGTGTGTCGAGATGGGCAACAGGAGACCTATTCAGTTTTTGTCTCTCATTTGCATACATATTTTCCCCTTAGAGTTGGAGTCAAAGCAAATAAAAAATTTAGTATTGTACATTTGTTTGCGTTTCTTCATGGTGCACTCAAGCTGAAACATATTCCATTGTTTGCACAGTAAAACAGTCTTCAACCTAGAAGAATAAAAATTATGCATATATGCCACAGTCCCTGGAGAACATTCCTTAGTAAAAACCATTGAATTTAATGGAATACAAGTTATACACTGTGTCTTCTGGAGGAGATTGGACTTGGTGGGCTATGGTCATGGGCTACAGGGTTTTTTTAAAAACTGGTCGTATTAATGATGTTCACACATTGAAATTACCAGCTTGGATTTAGGTGACTTAGTGGAGTACATTTCACACAACATTTATGTGTGCATTAGAAGTTCTCATGTCTCAGTATTTTCTTGGAGACTCTGGGTTTGCTTCTTCCCCCTTTATAATGATACCCAGTTTGGAAAGTGCTTGAAGACATTTAAGGGCCTTACACTGCAATTCTGTACATCTCTACCCCGGAATAAGTCCCATCAAATGCTAAGGGATTTTTAAGTAGTTATGCATAGGATTCCAATATTGATCTGTATCTTTTATGCTGAATTAATCCTCTCCTGTTGAATTCAGCCAGAGCAAGACATCGTGATCTCAGAATAGCTCCAGTTTACACAGAATTTCATGCCTAGAAATTAACTGGTGTGCTGCTGTTTCCTGCAAAACACACGGGCAGAGTGTGAACAACAGCCACGTGTTCATAAGCACCCATGTGTGAGAGCTCTGATAGGTCTGTTGCCAATACATGTAGAGCAGCTTTTAAGAGCACATGTCCTGTCTTTTGCACTTTGCTACAAGAAACATCACTGCATTTGCGTGTTGAGACCTTTAAACCTCCCCCCCTAAATAAATTCAGACAAGACTCAAATTTTGGTTTGGTTTTTGGCAGAATTTAGGCCACAACTTTATTGATTACAGCAAGTGAATGGTTGCATATGCTCTGGTTCAACTAGCTCCCTGCACCATTGCAGGTAACGCTGACCCAGGACACCAGCCAAGGGTGAACACCTGGATAAGCGGAAATCCGGGAACAGGCTATCTCCGCCACCCAAGTGCCCCCCTGGAGTCATGCACAGGCACAACCCCCTCACAGGGGTTGACCAAACCATTGAGTCCCTGATTCCTTAAACAGAATACCCTTCACATAGGGATGGCGAGAGCATTCTCCCATCCCTGTCACCTGAACCAGAGCCTATCCGCAACCTTACAAGTTGTGATGATTTGCTACATGGCAGGCGAAACCCAAATGGCAACAGCCATTCAGCCAAATGGGGAAAATTCCTGCCGGGCCCCATCCCAGTGACAGGGGTGCATAGCAAGGTCAAGTGTGCAAGCCCTAAATATAGGGAGAGGCGGGCGGGTGTTCCGATGCAAGCACCGAAAGAGGAAGCTCTGGGCCATGTGCATAGGGATATATAGGTCCCTTGATCCGTTTTGCCTGCTTCCCATTGGCCTGATTGAACCCTGCATCAAGGGACCTACCAATCGGGTGTTGTGGCTATCCAAACGTACCCACCCACAACACGGGGTTAGGTTGCCAGGTCCCACTACAACACATGCCCTCTTTAAGGGAGGACCCGATTTGTGGCAGACATGATTGTTGCATAAAGTACAGGCTGGAGTTGCCTGCCACAGCTGAACAAGCAAATTCAGTTTGCTTTCTGATGTCACAGCTAGCCAAATATGTACCAATCATGATAAATATGATATCTGTATGGTGTTGTTGCTAGTTTGCTTAGACCAGGGTGTCATTCAGTAGCTGCCAGGAGCAACTGAAGCAGTAGAATAATCAGGGCTTTTTTTCCCCAGCTGGAACTTGCCAGAACTGAGTTCTGGCACCTCAGGAAAAATAGCACTGAGAATAATCATTGTTCTAGGTTGAAGGGTGAGGAGATAGAACCACTTGACAAAGTCATTGACTGCAATTTCTGACATTTCCAACTTGTTTTCTGATTGTCAGTCAAAGAGCAGTTTGCTTTGTAAACCATCAAAGGAAGGGTGAATCTCTTTCCCAGTCGTTCAAGAATAGTATCTTTAATATGAGCAGCTAAAAATCCCAGAGCTGGGAATTAGTCCTTATAAATGTGTTAAAATAATGTCCCCATTTGGATATCTTTTTAAATGGAATTTAAGGAGAGTCCTGTTGAACCAGACCAGCTCCATCCTTTGGGAAGCCCATATGCAGTGCATGGAATCAATAGCCTCCCCCTGCTGTTGCTACCCTGCAGCTGGTATTCAATGGGCTATAGCCTGTGAACGTGTAAGTTTCAGTGTAGCCATAGATAAACCTCCACGAATTTATCTAATCACCCTTTAGAGCCATTTAAGACCAACACACTTTCCTACATTCTGCCTCCCCTCAGGGCATGATGTGTAAACCAGCAAGGAACTATGCTATAATATTTTATTGTGAAGGAGTTGTTTTAGTGTCTGTCCTCCGTTACCCATATGTACAACTCACTAGAGGTGTGGTGTGGTGTGTGAATACTTTCATAGATTTGTCACATTGGTCTTAATAAGCAGAGAGATCTGTGTTTCATACATTTGGGTTCGCTTTTATTTCCCCCGGAATAGGAGCAGGGAAGTGTTGGTATAAATCTGCAAATGCTTTGGGCGATGCAGCTCTGTAAACTGACTCATCGAGAAGCACCTTGCTTCATGCCTAATCTGGAATTTACAGTATGGTAGACTGAAATGGGAGAGACTGAGCAGGATTTCTGCGTTTCCTGCTGTTGCAGATGATGTCACTTTTCAGCTGCTGCATTGCTAGCTAAAGGGGATCTGTTATCGGTCAGCAAAAGCCGTTTGTCCCTCTTTGGTGCTGCGTTAACCAGAAGAACAATTTCTGCATTTAATATTTAAAGAGGCTCTTAGGGGCTTCCTATGCCTGATTGTTAAACTTATATAGAATCTGGGTGGAAAGAGTCCCGCCATCTCTGATAATACTGTCAGCTTTAATATATTCACCTTCCAGCAATATAGCTGTCAGCAGGAAGGACGGAAATGGCAGGTTTTATTGGAAAACTTTTATTTTACACCATTTGACTCTGTTTCCACATAGCTTCGTGCCAGCACTGAACTTGCCGAGTTTATCTCCCATTGTTTTACCTTGGCGCTTGTGTTGGCCAGATGAGGTACAGAACAGTGTAATTGCCTCTGTGAAAAAAAAGGGTAATTGTAGATGACAAAATCATAGAGCAGCCATAGAGCTGTGTTGCTAAGAGGTTTGTTTCTCCTTTTTACCCAGATATGCCCATCGTATCTGCCCACGTCACATATATTAACAATGTCACTTACTTCTCACCATGTATTTGTGATAGTCCCTACAAGACATAAGGCTTGTCCACACTAGAGCAAAATGTGGATTTGCACCCACCAGTCTCCCCATTGATACAGGAGGGTCCACAAGACATCCTCCCCATTGTAGTTTTGTCTTGGACTTTTCCTTCTTTAAATGCAGGGGTGTGTGTGTGTGTGTGTGTGCTGATCCTTGGAAAGTCCAAAGTGTCCAGGATCAAGAAACTCCACATTTACAGGGGGAAAGGTTCAGAACAACAGTGGGGCAACATCTGCTTTTTGCTCTGATTCAGACAAACCCTTAGGATCCAAGCAAGTTACTTGTTTTCCTGTGTGCACCATTGGTGAAGGATGAATTTAGGCTTAGTAAAATATTTCCAGTGAGCTATACCATGTTGTACAGGGAAATGTGAAAGGCTGACTGGTAACATGGGAGACTTTCTTAATGCAAAATATCAAGATCAGGTGGGTGAATTTCAAGTCATTCAAAAAATAAGATATCCAGAGGTTTATGGGTAACTATATAGGACTGGATCCAGATCCCATTGGAGTCAATGGAACAGGTTAGCCATACCTAAGTTCCATTGATTTCAGTGGTAGTGAAGTGCACCTAACATGTGGAGAAATCCTGTACATGTCTGCTCAGAAATCAATCCCTCTGAATTCAGTGGGACTTGCTCTTATATAAGTGTGTGTAGGTTATGCCAGCCTTAGGGTGTGTACACATTAGCAGCTTGAAACACGGTGAGATCATTCCCCCAAGTTTAACACTGCTTTCTTGGATTCCTGTACACACTAGAGAGGGGGCAGAGATGTCTTCACCCAATGCCCAGTACTTGATTTGTTTCCCCACACCGAATTCCAGTTCACCATAGCTGTCATCTGCGCATGTACTATCACCTGCACATGTGCAATGGCTGCTTGAAATGTACACATCTTGCCTTAACTGTGGCTTCTGTTTTATAACTGGATGGAAGCTGGTCTCAGGGGAATATTTCTCAAGAAACTACAGGATATGAATGAATTGTGGCTAATGTCATGTGCATTTAGCTTTAGACACCAGTGTTGGGAGCATGCTGGAGCCAGAGTAAGTGGTAATGTGCACACAGCCTAAGTCTGGATCCAATCCAGAGAAATTAGGCCAAGAAACCAATGAATAATATATGCCTGCCCATTGATAGATATTTTTAAAACATCCTATTGGCAGGTACCCTCACTATATTGTTTTAGATGCCTGCTGTAAACCTGGGATGGGGGTGGGATGCCCAGCCTAGCCAGAAACATGATTTAGCTACCTATATTGATTTTTAATTTTTTATATTCGATTTTGATTATGGTTTTCCTGCGTATTTGTTTTTTCAACTGGGTTGTGGATTTTAGCTGTGTTCTATCTATAATTTTATTTGCACACCACTTTTTTTAATCAAGCAGTTTCTAACATTTCCAAGTAAACAATAAATACAAATGAAAGCAACCAGAAATGAATTCAAACACAATTGGTTCCGCTCACTTAAAACACAACACTTTTCATCAGTACCTATTCAAGACATTGAGGCAGGAGTCACTGAGAGAGAAGATATTCAGATAATGTGCATGCATGAATCAGCCTGTTTTGTTTTCCAGCATCTCTGAACGTCGTTTCAGTAAAAGCCGTGGCAACCATGATTACACTTTCTGTGAGAGGGAACATGCAGCTAACCTACCCTGTTTTCTATATCATGTTCATTCTGATGGCAGTAACATGTGCTTTCCAAGTCAAGTAAGTTTCTAACATATTCACCTACCATCTTATTACCCTATTAACAGCCATTTGCTAATTTCTGTTCCTCTACTTAATGCTTCGTGTCATAGCGTAGCTTATACACCCAACTTCTAACAGGCCCTCTTGGCCCAACTCAGCGCTGATGGTTTCAGGCCAGATGCATTATTATGCGCTCACTTCTAGTTTTGATTTATGAGCGCGATGCTTTATTTTGCTGTTAACTAGCCATGCAGGTTTTCCTAAATGCACTTTTACATTTGCTGAGGATTTCAGACCAGATGAACCTTGCTGGTTTCCTGCTGCTTTTTCATTCTGACATTTTCCACAGCTTTTACACCCACTGCCAGTCACTAATAAAACTAACACCCTGCTCTGCTTTCACTAATTTCGCCATCTCGTTCCCCCGTGCTGCTTTGTATTCGCAGGTTGTAGCAACACAATTTCCCTTGTCCGTTTTTTTATTTATTATTACTATTAAAGGGGAAGGGGCTTAATCTCCCCAGAATACTCATATAATTATGTCTTCAAAAGTGTTCTTCTTCCAGCTGGGATTTCCTTCCTGTCTTTTCAAGGTCTGTTCATTGATTAACCTGGCTGTGATGATAGTTCTCACAGAAGACAGGGGGCTGCTGCCGATAATAGCATTTCCGTGTCTAGTTCTCCCCCAAACCTTTAGACTGTCCGGTAGTTTAACTCACTCTATGCTTTGGTATCATTATGCCCTGTGTTTCCCCACTCTCACCAACTGCAGGCAACGTGAACACAACCTGACGTTGCTATTTTAATAATAGCATTTATTAGCATTTTTGTTGTTCTGTTATAAGACGCTTTGAGCATATATCTATGGGAAAGTGGAACGCAAAATTTAATAAACAAACTAGATGGACTTTTGGTCTGAACTAGCAGGGCTTTTCTAATGTTCTTAGGCTTAAACCGCATTTTCTAATGTTCTTAGGCTTAAACCGCATGTGAGCCAGTGTGGTGTAGTGGTTAAGAGTGGTGGACTCGTAATCTGGTGAACCGGGTTCGCGTCTCCGCTCCTCCACATGCAGCTGCTGGGTGACCTTGGGCCAGTCACACTTCTCTGAAGTCTCTCAGCCCCACTCACCTCACAGAGTGTTTGTTGTGGGGGAGGAAGGGAAAGGAGAATGTTAGCTGCTTTGAGACTCCTTTGGGTAGTGATAAAGCGGGATATCAAATCCAAACACTAAACTCTCTAATCCCACTCTATTCCACCTCTGTCTCTTGAAAGTATCCTGGGAAATGTGGCTTACCCCTCGCAGAACTGCAATTCCCAGCACTCTTAACAAACTACACTTCCTAGGATTCTTGGGTGGGTGTGTGCTTTAAATGTATGGTGCGTATACAGCCTTTATGGTGGTTTTCCTAAGACCACCTGGTGCACTGATATCAGAATTAAGATTCAAACCAGGAACTTTGCAGCTGACACTTTTACAGCTTTTCCTCTTGTAGCCAAACATAACTCAAAACATATTTTAGTGCAGGGGTCACTAACCTGTGGCCTTCGGTATGTTGCTGAACTACACCTCCCATCAGTTCTAGCCAACATGGCCAGTGGTTAGGGATGATGGGATTTGTGGTCTATCTATAGCTGGAGAGCCAAAGTTCTGCCATGCCTGTTTTAGTGACTCATTTGAACAGCTTTTTTTATTTTAGAGGAGGGGGTAGCATCTTCATGCATTTATGTTGGATTATTTTTTTTCAGAGTGTCATTGGTATGACTGGCCAAAAGTAATGAGGTGTCTGCAGTGATTTTGAAATCCTGACTATGCCATGAATATGCAGGATTTTTATTTTATTTTTAAAGCTCCATGGAGACTGCTCAACGGTTGCTAAAATAACTTTGCAGTCACTCCTAATGTCTAAAACAGATTAGAAGCTGGACTTTAATGTTGTATCAATAGGCCATTTGGAGGATCACTCTTTTTAAAGGATGCACACCATTTTCTACATGAAATTAAGAATTCTATATTCAGCTGCTGATCCAGGTTTTTGGGGATGTAGTGGGTGTCCCCCAGTGTTGTTTTTTTTTTAAGCAGCTCTTTTGTCAATTGATAAGGCAGAAATGGATGGAAGCTCTGATGGTCAGAAAAGATTCGACACTTCCTCACAAAATAAAATATTTAAATTCAGGACTAAATATTAAATAACAGGTTTTGAAACCAGCAGCCGTGCCTACCCTAATAAATAATAATATAATATAACTACTGTTCTTAAAATACATCAACATTTTTATGTTTTGGTGATGTGCAACCCTCTGTTATTTTATGAAATGGCAGTACAGAAATACTTTTATTAAATATAAATACTGGGTTGTTTTTATTTTTATTAGGTATTTTGTGGTTTTGTATCTTGATTTTATTCTGTGAACTGCCCTGAGACCCCCAGGTATAGGATAGTATATAAATTCAATAAATAATAATAATATACAAACTGAGTAATTCTTACAAGAACCTTTTAAGGTAGGCCAAACATTACCTTGGGAACATAGGTAGCTGTACTATAACATGATTGTTTGTCTATTGTCTACTCTGACTGATAGCAGATCTCACAAGATCTCAGGCAGGATCCCCATTCTGTAAGATTGGGTCTACTAGACAGTGGCTTGACTTGAGCCTGCCTGGTGAGTTTGTGGCAGAAATGAAATCTTAGCCAGGAATTTCCTGAGCCACTGCACTAAATGAGTTTTTCCGTGCCGTCCATGGCCAAAGGTGCCCAAGGCAGAAGAAGATGGGTGATTTCCTTCGTTTCCTCCCTAGAAAGATAAGTAATGGGAAGGGTGAGAGGGTGTGGTGGTTTTTCTCACAGGCTTGTTCATCTGTGTTATTCTGCACTGAGTAATGCTCATGTTTTGAAGTACCTGCCAGGAACTAGAGTATTTTGTAACAAGTTCCATATACTCAAAGAGGCTTTTGGCTTGGGTTTTTAAACAGCATTTATTTATTACATTCATATCCTGCCTTGGTTCTTCTGTTTGCTTCTCTCGCTGCCCTTTTATCAGCATAAGATCCCTGTAAAGTCAATAACGTTGACAGAGATAGTGGCTGTAAACACACCAGTCATTTGAAGAGCACCCAAAGAGTTCCTCACAGAGCTCCAATTTCCAGTACCCTTAACAAACTATAGATCCTAGGATTTGGTGTGTGTGTGTGTGTGTGTGTGTGTGTGTGTGTGTGTGTGCTTTAAATGTATGGTATATATGCAGTCAATGACTGGTCCAAGGTTACCTAGTGAGCTTCACTTCTGAGTATGGATTTGAACCTGAGTCTCCTCATTCCTAGACTGAGATTCTACTGATAATACCATACTAGCTGATACTGCCAGGCAAATCAATTTAGAATCATTCAAGAGTTGCTTATGATATAGCCTGGAGGTTTGCTGTTCAAAGAAAGACATTTTTAAAAACAACTGAGCATGCTGCCCAAGCCTGTTAGACCCCTGGCTGCAGTATTTGATATTTTGATTTTAACCTAATGTAGTTTGTGGATTTAAAAACCTTTTTATTTAACCCCCCCTTTTTTGCGGACTTATTAAAATAAACTTCAAAGCCTAAGAGTTTCCCATAGTTTTGTAAGGCTGCGATCCTTTGCACACTTATCTAGGAGCAAACTCTGTTGAGCACAGAGGGACTTCCACCTTGGTCGATGTACAGAGGAGTGTCTTCCAACTCTCTATGCCAGGGGTCAGCAAACTTTTTCAGCAGGGGGCCAGTCCACTGTCCCTCAGAACTTGCGGGGGGCTGGACTATATTTTTAAAATAATAATAATAATGAACTAATTCCTATGCCCCACAAATAACGCAGAGATGCATTTTAAATAAAAGGACACATTCTACTCATGTAAAAACATGCTGATTACCGGACCGTCCGTGGGCCAGATTGAGAAGGCATTTGGGCCGGATCCAGCCCCCAGGCCTTAGTTTGCCTACCCATGCTCTATGCCAGCGTGTCTCAACCTGTGTGTCCCCAGATGTTGTTGGACTACAACTCCCATCATTCCTGAGCTCTGGCCTTGCTAGCTAGGGGTGATGGGAGTTGTAGTCCAACAACATCTGGGGACCCACAGGTTGAGAACCGCTGCCTATGCAATATGAAGAGCTTTGGTTCCAGGTCAAACTTAAAAGATCAGAATGTCATCTGCACCAAAATATAAAAGGGGGGGCGGGACTGAGGTCTATGGAAATAGAATCATAGAATCTTAGAGTTGGAAGAGATACCAACGGTCATCTAGTCCAACCCCCTGCAATGCAGGAACCTCAGCTAAAGCCTCCATGACAGATAACCATCCAACCTCTGTTTAAAAACCTCCAAGAAAAGAGAGTCCACCACCTCTCCTAAGAGACTGTTCCATCGCTGAACAGCTCTTACTGTCAGAAAGTTTTTCCGAATGTTGAGTCAGAATCTCCTTTCTTGCAACTTGAAGCCATTGGTTCAAGTCCTACCCTTCAGAGCAGGAAAAAACAAGCTTACTCCCTCCTTAAGATATTTGAAAATGGCTATCATATCTCCTCTCTGTCTCCTCTTTTCCAGGCTAAACTTACCCAGCTCCTTCGAGCGCTCCTCATAAGGCTTAGTTTCCAGACCCTTGGTCATCTTGGTTGTTGCATATATGACGAATGCTGATACTTTGGATTTTTCTGCTCTGTTTTTTAGTAATGGTGGAGAAGCAGCCCAGGAAGAGCTGATCTCAAGAGCATGCATTGCGTCTCCTTGGAGCGTTGGAATGCCAACTGGCCAGTTGTTGATAAATGCTGGCTGCCCTGGCCTGTGAATTCTTATTGACGTGACTCTAAAAGTGCATTGACTTTCTCCTCATAGGTTTTTAAATGAAGCAATGAAGCTCTATGGTGCAGAAGAGGTCATCCCAATGAACTACATATTCTTCAGCATTAGCGCTATTGTGGCAGGTTAGTAGGTACCCTGGTCAACCAAATAAAGGCATCAGAACTGGGAGCTCCATTGTGTTCTTGTGTGCAGAGCTCACAAAGATTCATTGTGACTTCCCACCCTCCACCCAGGGGGGCCTGAAATGTATGGGGCCTCTCTCTTTTCCTCCGGCTTACCAATGAGCATTTGCTTAGCATCATATATGGCAGTCACAATGCAGTCAGAGTTAATCACATTGCAAGTTCCATTGACGGCAATGATAGAGAGTCATTTGACATCTTTCCGCAGGGCCTGCAAGATGGAGTTCTTCCGCCAGTCCTTTGGTCAGGGCTCAGCCTGACTCCCCTTTTGTTTTTGTATAAGAACTAATAGGAAAGAGGACTCCCAGCACTCTCACAGGCCCATATAAGATCAGTGTAAACAGTTGGGCCGATGAGCACTTACTGTTCCCAACCCTAACCCTGCGGAAAGCCATCTAATTAGACTTTAATTTGATTTTTTAGGAGGTAATTTAATTATTGTTTGATTTTATACTAATGTTATATATCTGATGTTAGCTGCCCTGAGCCCGACTTCAGCTAGGGAGGGCGGGATATAAATAAAAGTTGATTATTATTATTATTATTATGTGCTCAAGTCTCTCATTGAAATCTATGGGAGAGGGACTTCCGGCGAGGCAGCATGGCGGCTGCAACAGCAGAAAAGAGCTCCTGAAGCCAGCCAGAGTAAAAGGCTCTGTCTGGCCGACTCCTGGGCTCCCAGGACTGCTGCCGCCAGCACCGCCAGCGGAGAGGAATCGGGGGTGCCCGGGAGCCTATCAAAGGAGCCAAAACACCCCCCACAGAGATTGAGCCGGAAAGACACCCGACCACCCCCAACAGCCGGGAGGAGCTCCAAAACCAGGAGGACAGTGGAGCTAACGCAGAGAGGGAGAAAAAGAAAAGGGGGAAAGAAAAAGGAGCCCCAAACTTACCGCTGCTGCCCCCATCTCTGCTGACAAGAAAGCAGAGGAGAGGTAGGTGAGCACGGGAAGGCAAAAGAGGCTCCGGAAAAAACACGTGGCTGAGCCCCACCGGGAGCTCCAGCAGCAAGGAAAACAGAGAAGCTGCATAACAAAGGGATTTCCCCCTTTCTTTCTTCTCTTTTCTTTTTTTAACCCCCTTTGTTTTTAACCCCTTCCTCCCCTCCCTCCCCTTTAAAATATATATATATATATCTTTTTATCCCTCCCCCCATATACCTACTTTTATCACTTTTCTTTTTAAAAGAGGGGCCACTGCTGCTGCAGCCACCCTTTATTTGAATCTTTATTTTTATTGCTATCTTTTCTACACACTATTTAAAGACACACTTTTCCACACACACACTCTGAATTCAAACCTCATTTTATTTCCACCTCAAACTCCCCTCTTAAGAACTAAAATGGCAGTACCCAGGAAACAGCCCTGAACCATCACAGGCCATTTCCTGGGACTGCCACTTCGCCCCAGACTTTCCACTCTCTTTTACCTATCCTCTTTTACCTATACTTTACTCATTTTTAAAATAAAATAAAATAAAAAGCTCTATCTATCTATCTATCTAAAGACAACCCCCCCTTTTTTTTTTAACCTTTAATTCTCATTTTTATATTTTACCCGTACATTTTTAATTACTTTTTTACAAACAAAAAATAATAACAATAATTAGGGGAAAATATTATTATTTATTTATTTATTTTAAAAAAAAGAAACCATACAATTTTTCCTCCCTCTTTCTCTTTTTAAAGCCCTTTCTTTTCTATTTGTTGGCTTGTTCTTGAGGGGGGAATCTTTCGCCCCCAGCTACGACCACCACTCTCTTTTAAAACAAAAACTTCCTCCATATCACTGCTATTGCTATTGATACTCTCCCCCTCAACTCCCCTCCTTTTTATTTTTCTCTCCCTTTTTCTCTCTCTCTCTCTCTTCACCCCTCCTCATTTTTTCCTTTTATCCCACCTTTCATTTCCCATCCCCAATTTTGTTCTCTATCCCTTTAATTTTTTTTTTAAATCAACCCCCCCTTTTTAGCCTGTTCATCAGTTTGTTTTTGAGAGGGAGCCCTTTCCCCCACCCACTATTTTAAAATAAGACTTTCCCCCATACCATTGCAGCAGCTCACCCTCCCTCCCTCCCCTCTCCCCCTCTCTTTTCTTCTCCTTCCTTTTCCCACCCTTCCCCCTCCTCCTCTCCTTTCTCTCCCTCCTCCCTCTCTCCATCCCCCCCTTCCCCTAAAGGAAACACATACACACATTCATATCACCCTATCACAATTTGCCCCCCTCATACTATAGCTAAAACTACTGCTGCATTCTAATACCGCTGATATTACTGTACTATCTCTCCCCGCTCTTTCAACTCTCTTTTTGTCCCTCTCTCTCTCTTCTCTTTTACTCCAATCTCCCCCCTCCCCCCCGCCTCCCCCCTTCTTCTTTCTTTCTTCTTCTTCTTCCCTTTTTTCTCCCTCCACCCTTTACATATAGCCTATTTGTCTGTCTCTGTTTCTGAGCGCACTCCCAACCCCAACTTCCACCTTAACTGGACCCCAATACCCCTTCTGGGCATATACACACCCCTCCTAAACACATATTTCCCTGACCCCACCCCTCTAATCTCTTGCATCTCTACCTGCTAACCCCTCCCTTTATATGAACTGTCTGTCCGTTAATCTACCCATCTCTGCTTACCTGCCCCCCACCTCGGCGGCACCGCTGAGGCATCCACAAAAGCCCTAGAGAAGTTCTTAAAACACAGGCTAGAAGTGACACAAATGACCACCTAATCCAAACGCTCTGTAGAAGCCACCAGCCAACAAAGCCTGATCAGCTCAGCAACCCAACAATACCCAGGAATCACCACTGCCACAACTCCTAACCACCACACGCCCTACCCCAAGAGGACGCCAAGCCAACCTCAAACCAAAACCATCAGGGAGACCGAGATGACACCAACCAGGGAGATGGCAAACAATGCTAAGATGGTAACTCCCCTTCAAGATGACGACCACCCAATAACGAAACGAGATCTGAGGGAAATGGAAGCAAGATTAGAAGCACGATTAGAAGAAACACTGAAGGCCACAATGGCTCCCATGCAGGTACTAATCAACAATCTAACCTCCAAAGTGGAAGCTCTAGAGAACAAGAACCAAATGCAAGAAAGAATAATAGAGCAATACCGGGAGGAGAACACACGTGTGAACAAGAAACTGGACGAACTGGTAAACCAAATGGAAGCAGAACACAGAGAGATGAAAATTAAGCAAGCCGACCTCGAAGACCGCAATAGACGTTGTAACATCCGCTTCCGCAACTTTCCTGAAAAACAGAGGAGAAAAGCCCAGCAGACCTAATTATACGCTGGCTGAAAAACACAATCCCAAGCCTGAAACTTGAGGCAGATGACTTGGAGAGGGCTCACAGAGCCCTAAAACCTATGCCAAAACCCAGCGCCCCCCCAAGAGACATCATTGTATGCTTCACACGCTACAAAAAGAAGGAAGAGGTATGGAACCATCTCAAAAACTCAACCAACCTTCGATATGGAGAAACCCCCATTCTGGCCTTACAGGACCTTTCTCAGGATACCCTAAACCGGAGGAAAAGCCTGCGCCCATGCACCCAGCGTCTCCAACAAGCAGGGATCAAATACCGATGGGGCTTCCCCTTCCGCCTCATTGTAACAACCAATACAACACAACACATGGCTACCAACATACCTGAGGCCCTGCAACTACTAAAAACCTTGAACTCAACCTCCCACCGGAATGGCAACCGACAAACCCACCAAGTGACAGCCCCAACCACGAGGAAACAACAGCAAACAACTGGACAACGGTACAGAAGAAAAAGAAACAACAGAAGCGGCACAACAACGCAAACCAATACAGGCAAGCATCATGCTCAGAACCGTCCCGCCGGCCATACGACACAAGAAACCAGACCAAGATCAACCAAACCAATTCATCGCAGATGGACAACCCTACAACAACAACAACCCCAGCTGAATGAAGCAACCAGGAAAAACCACAAACTGAAGGACTGGTGACTCCCCCTTTCCCCTCTCCCCCAAAAACATAGATTTAGTTAACACCACCACCATCCCACCACCAGCCCCGCACCCCCACAGGAATCCCCAACCCAACACCAGTCCAGACGACCTCAACCACATTCCCCATCACCCACACCTTCAACACCCCCATACTCCATACTAGGGAAAACAACTCCCACAACCTTAATAACACAACCCACAATCAGGCTAAAATCTGATACCCAACCAGCACTATGGTGGCACCAGAGCGTACCAGCACCCACATCCCCACCCCAACACACCAATAATGTTGCTCATAACATTGGCAACATTGCTTATGAACCTTATACCTGACAGCGACGTTACAAAGTCACTTCACACTGTCTCACTGCTCACCCCCATGCGCAAACAACAGGGGGGATGGCCTGTCCTTGAACACGGCCTTCCACACCAGCTGAGACCTAGGACCAACTGGCTAAATGCCAGATGGCCTAAAATACCCCAAACAAACACCTATATGACTACATATAGGAAACTCTCTACAACTTACCCCTACTCTTTAACCCAAATCTTACTCTAATCCCATTAGCCCCCACCCACCACACCCTAGGTCAGCGCAACCCCACTTTTTTAAACAACACGAAGAGAGAGACACAAGACAACCCGAATGGGTTGGCAAGGAATTGCCCCACATAATAGATAAGCAAGATGGCTAACCTAAAAGCAATTACATTAAACGTGAGGGGGCTGGGAAACCCCATCAAAAGAAAACGCATCACCTCATACATAAACACCATGAAACCACACATCACCTTCCTACAAGAAATACACAACCCACCCAAAGGCAGCAAACTCCTGAGCGACCCCCGCTTCAGTCAACAGTGGGTCGCACGAGGCTCAGGGAAAGCTCGTGGTGTAGCCATAATACTCAGTAGAGACCTGAACTTCACTGCCACAACAGTCCTCAAGGACAAAAAGGCAGATTCATTTTCGCTAAAGGGACACTAGATGGCAAAATCAAACTGACAATCGGCTCCATATATGCCCCAAACACGAAACAATTAGAATTCTTCCAGAAGACACTAAACAAATTCCTCTCCTTCTCTGAAGGGGAAGCAATCCTAGGAGGGGACCTCAATCTAAATATGAAAGGTATATCCCTGAAAGATATCCACCCCACAACCCCATGGGCAACCTTCCTCCGAAGGAAACCCCCAACAACCAGGAACTCTTACAAGTTACTAAAAATGCTAAAAAAACAGGGGTCTCTACGACATTTGGGGTGAGCAAAACCCGGGAGACATCAGCCATACATTCCAATCAGGACGCCATGATACAGTGTCCAGACTGGACAGCATTCTACTCACACAGGGTCTGATCCCCTCAGTAGAATCAACAAACATAGGTAACATTAAAATCACAGACCACGCCCCAGTAGAAGTCATTGTTAAAATAGGAGAAGGAACACAAACCACCCCATCATGGTCCTTCAGTCCCATCCTAACTACAAACAAACAAATTAGAGAGAGTCTCACAAAAACCCTCCAAAACTACTTCAAAGAAAACGATGTAAACAATATAACAACCCCTCCTATGGGACGCAATGAAAGCGGTCACCAGAGGAGCTTGCATAAAAGAGAAAACATTCCTTTACATACAAACCTCCTCAAAAATTAGCAAACTAGTACCAGAGATCACAGCCCTCTGATCACGCTACAAACAAACAGGCTCTCAAACACTCCGCCAACTTATAGAACCAAAACGGAGAGAACTAGACTCCCTAGAACTTAACAAAACCATGATCAACATTCTATACTCTAAACAACGTTTCTACGAATATGGAGGGAACACCTCCAGATTACTAGCAAATAGATGTAGGAAAAAGCACTCAAAACAAGAATACACTGCATCACCAAAAAGACGGCAACATAACATTCTCCCCCAAAGAAATAACCTCAGAATTTGCAGAATTCTACTCCAACCTATACACCTCCCATAACCCACCAGAGAAGGAAATCAGAACATTTCTAGCAGGACTGACCATGCCTACCCTAACTAATGAGGAACAGGAATTCATGGACAGCCCTATCACCCCAGAGGAAATAGATGCGGTCCTCAAAAACCTGAAACCACACAAAGCCCCAGGCCCAGACGGCTTCACAGCAGAATTCTATAAGAAATTCAAAGAACCCTTGATGCCCTACATGACCCGCCTATTCAACGACATCATAAAAGGGGCCCCGTCCCCAAAACCTGGACCCACTCCAAAATAGTCTCCATCCCAAAACCACTAAAAGACAGCCTCAAAGTAGAATCATACCGCCCAATCTCATTAATAAACCAAGACTACAAGATATTCACATCAATCTTGGCCAACCGCCTAAAAATCTTCCTACACAAGTTAATAGCCCCAGACCAGACTGGCTTTGTCCCTGGCCGCAATATAACAGACCCCATCAGGAAACTACTGAACCTGATCGAACACAGCAAGGCAACCAAACTCCCATTGACAATTATGTCCCTAGACATCCTCAAAGCCTTTGATTGCTTGGAGTGGAAATACATATTAGCAGTACTAACTAACATGAAATTTGGCCCCAACTTCCTACAAATCCTCAAACAAATATACTCCCAAGCCTCAGCAAAATGCAGAACTAACAATATGGATTCTAATACTATAGCTATCCAAAGAGGCACGAAACAAGGATGCCCACTGTCTCCCTTCTTATTTATCCTGGCTCTGGAACCCCTAGCAATCCGCATCCGAGCAGCCACAGACATCAAGGGAGTGGAAATAAAAGGCAGAACCTATAAATTAGGGCTCTTTGCAGATGACCTAATGGTCACAACACCAGACCCCATAAGCACAGCAACCTCCCTAATCAGAGAACTCAACACATTTGCAATGGTGTCGGGCCTACAGGTAAATTTTACAAAGTCAGAAGCTATGTGCTTCAACACCCCTCCTCACACCCAAAAAGAACTCACGAAGGTCACCAAAATAAAACTTTGCCACACCAAGTTCAGATACCTAGGGGTACAAATAACCAGAAACCTCAATAAATTGTACCTCCACAACTACAAGCCCCTGTGGCGACAAATTAACAAAGACCTAAAGAGATGGAATAACATGAACTTCACTCTCTCAGACAAAATAGCCATGATCAAAATGATCACACTCCCAAAACTAACCTACCTATTCCAAACCCTCCCAATCTGGATCCCCTCAACCCAACTTCGCAGTTGGCAGAGAAAACTACACTCTTTCATCTTCTCACATAAAAACCAAGAATAAGCCCCAAATACCTGCACCTCCCCACCTCAGAAGGAGGATGGGGAATCCCCAACATAGAAGCATATTACAATGCCAACCAAATACGCCACATAATCCCATATATACTAGAAGATGAGACAAAACAATGGGTACACCTAGAGAGGGACACAATTGAAAACACCTGCACCACAACATACCCACTCCTCCCAAACAAACTAAAGAAAATTCCCACAACACTTAACAGGTACACACAGACCATGCTCAAAGCATGGAAAACACAAATAGGCAAACTATCCCCAACCCCATCCCCACTAATCCCCCTGGCGTACCACCCATTATTCCACCGTGCAGCACAAAACCTCAAGATAAAAACCTGGCGAACCAAAGGCTTATATCGCCTAATAGACTTTTATAAAAATAACAAACCCTTGTCAACACAAGAAATACAAGACAAACTAGAAGACACCCAAATGCCCTGGTTAACACAACACCAACTTCATGCCCTCTTAAACAACCCAACAGTAAAATCAGCAGCAACTAGGCCCCTGACAACCTTCGAAAACCTCCTCCTAACAACAAAGGGAAACGGTAAAGGGACGGTATCCGCAATATACAAAATACTACTCCAAAATCCTGTAAATCCCCTAGACGCAATCAAAAAACAATGGGAGAATGACATAGGTTATGAGATTAACCCCACTCAATGGACCAGAATGTGGTCTAAACCCCCCTTTAAATCCATATCAACGAAAAGAAAAGAACTCACACTGAAACTCACCTACAGGTGGTACCTAACACCAAGGAAACTAGCGCTAATACACCCAGGAACCTCACCAAAATGCTGGAGAGGGTGCACCTCCACAGGCACATACCTCCACATGTGGTGGGAGTGTCCCAAAATCCAACTATTCTGGACAACAGCCATACAAGAAATATGTAAAATAACTAAGCAAGTAATAGACATCACCCCAGAATTGGCCCTACTAAACATCTTCCAAGACAACAATGCCCATTTACACCACAAAGAACTCATAACCCACCTGCTCTCAGCAGCCAGAAACACCATAACCAGACACTGGAGAGACCTGTCAGGAGTAAGCATGGACCAATGGTACCAAATAGTATGGGAAACAGCCCTACTAGAAAAATTAACTAATAAACTGAAACTGACACGGGGACAAACAGAAGAAGACGCCTTCACCCCGGTATGGCTCCCATTTATCACATACACAGCCCAACAGGACAATGACAATAATCCACCAACAGCATACAAATCAATATGGCTAACCTGATCCAAAACACCCACCCACCTCACTCACACACGAAAACAAAGATCACCACAGCCAATCACAAGCAAACAATCACACCCTAGGCCAACCCCAACCTCTCTCACCACCAAAGGAACACAAGTGAACAACACAAGCAACGCTGACACCAAACTCTACATACATTAAACATAATAGAAACACCGCCACCCGACCCCACCCCCATCCATCTTCCCTCTCTCCACCCCCCTTTTCTTTTTTCTTTTTTTTTTCTCCCCCTAATGCCTCAACAAATGAAACGGATTTGTAAAAATGTTACATGGGGAAAAAAATACGAGGCACTACACTTCTGTAAAACAAGAAAATCCTTAATAAAATATTTAAAAAAAAAAAAAAAAAAAAAGAAATCTATGGGATGTAAAAATGCTCCTTTGAGGCTGGAGCATGCCCAGCGTTCAGAGATGCATTTTGGTTATGACTTAGAGGGGACAAAAGTCTACTGTCATCAAAATGTCGTTTTCTCGGGGCTGACATTCCCCATCCATCCTGCTTTACTGGTTTTATTACAGGTGCCTGCAGTGACATACAATGAATGTTTTCCCCATGTGCACATTGGCTTCTCATTCTCTTACCTGCTAAAGTAATTTCAGCAATGAAGCAAGCCCTTAAGATAACAACCAGCTGTGCTCCTTAGCAGTCAGAGTGTATATTCTGTTTCAGCAGGCTTTCCGTGCTAGGCTACAGCGAAGGAATTAGAATGAATCCAAAGCCATTTTAAGCTATTAACATTTTATCCTGGGTGAGAACTTTTGAACTGGATATGATTGAAAAGAGACTCCAGTTCCCTGGGATTGTATGGTGTGGTAAGAACAAGCAAGCAGAGTGGGACCAATATGCTGCGTTCACAGTGAGCCAAGAAGTTATTGTTACTATAACTTTTATGACCCCTTTAACACACACACAGGGGCCTCCTCTGTCATTGGTTTTCAGGAGATCTGCATACAGAAATTCCATTAGTTTATGTCAATTACTTATTCGGAGCTCACCAAAGCTTAAAAAATATGGATTGGTTCAGCAGCTGGATTAAAATAGGCTTGTGCTGTATGATCCAGAGGAAAGATTGACCCAAAACAGCTGTAATGATGTAACCAAATGGAGAATTTGATGGTGTGCACTTCTGGGCCAACTGCTAAATATCCTTACTCATACTGAATTTGACCTAAACAAAGTCCCATTAAAAACTAAAATGAAGGGACTTACCCATCACCCATATATGCCAGGTTTGTTAACGTAAAACAGTTAGCATTGTTATTAATTGTTGGCCCTGTCAAGGGCTCCTTTGCAGATCAATTAGCATTAGGAAGAGTTCCCAGCCTGCTGCCATGGGAGCTTGCCAGGTTCATGCAGTTATTGGGCAATTAGTAAAATAGCCTAGCAAGCTATAAGGAACAGAAATAGACATTTGCTCTTGGCATATCTGCAACTGTTATTCTGGGCCAGGCACTCTTATCATTAAGATTGTGCTGGACTGGTCATCTGAAGTTTAGCACTCATTATCTTTAATACTACATGACCAATCGGCATGAAATTTGGCATAGGAATTAAAATTTCAGGCTTTAATCATGCTAATTGTTGTAACTAAAATTTTAATCATAGGTCAAGATGTATCCCCATTCAACCAGTGGAGCTGAGAAGCTCAGTTCGCACGTAATGCTAAGCCAAACTATGGCTTGGAATGAATCAACAAGTATGCTGGTGGTGCACATTTAGCAAATCATGACCAAATGTGTGGGCAGGCGGAAGACCTGCTGGTGGGTTTCCCACCCGTGGAGGCTATTGGAAAGCTCCAAAACGCATTCTGAGGATGCTGGCTGGCAGAGATTTCCAGGACGTTAAGCAGAGATTTCCCACATCACTAGCAACTGGACCATTTCAGCCAGAGATTCAAAAAGCTAAATTTAGGACTTTGTGTAGGCAAAAACAGATGTTCCACCACTGGTACCAGTTGGCAATTGGGACAATGTGCCTGGCCTCCCCCATCTGCTGCTGCCACTTTGAATGGCCAGGATGCAGCCTCTGTGGTGGAAGCAAGCAGTTTGGATGGGTCTCTCCATATAGAAAAGAATACCTTGAAGTTCCTGTCAAGTCTACCTGCTATTCAAGAGTTGCTGTTTTTGGTTTGTCTCAATCCAGGGGCCATATTTTATCAGGAATTCCAAGGTACTGGTTTGCTGAGTGGCTTCATGTTTCTCTTTGGGTAAGCATATTCCTTGAATACTTTACTCACATTGGTTGTAAGGCATTTAAGTGAATGTATCAATACTGAGAAAGGCAAGGATACATGGCCAATCCAATCCATAGGAGCAGGAGGGCAGGCTGGCTCTGGCTTTCTGCCTACAGCTAAGGAGAGCAACACTGGAAGGAGTCACCCTGACTGTGGCTCCCATTCCACGAATGGAAGGAAATGGAACCGGTCATGTTGCAACCTGACAAAATGGCTAAACAGTTATGGGGCTTGTGCCAGTGGGGGTGAACTTTTCATTATGTTTATCAGGGGTGGGGAATGTGTGACCTTCTGGGTGTTGCAGGAGTACAGATCCCATCAACTCTGGCCATTGACCATGGATCAACCAATATATATGAGCTAGACTACAGATTATCTCAACCTTAAATAGGCCACTTCTGAATGGCTACAATTCACTTGTGGCGTCTACCATCTACAGCTTGTCACTTGAATCCTCCTGATGAACAGAACAAAACAGAGAACAATTCTGATGGATGGACTTCTCACTTATTGTAGCTCCACACATTTCATAGTAAAACACTCCTTCAGGAACTTGAAAAGCTTACACCTTAAAATCTTAAAAAAAAAAAAACCTTCAAGAACCAACTTGAAAAGTGGTAGATCAACATTTTATTCTCACTGCAGTGATGTTCAGTCATCCCAGTTCAGGACTGGGCCTTAAGCTTAGCAGCAAGGCATTATGTTCTAGCTTACAGAAGGTCTTGTTCAGTTCCTTGCATCTCCAAGTAAAGAGGTTGGGTTGCTAGTGATGTGGGGAGTCATTGCTTAAGACCCTGGAAAGCTCTGCCAGAGGTGATAGGGAGCCAGAGGGACAAAATGGTCTGACCTGGTGTAAGGCAAGTTTCTGTGTATTTAATTTGTGGAGAGTTTGCACACCAATGCTGGGTAGTGATGGGGACAAGAAAGATTTGTTATGTATCTAAAAGAAAGCAAGGCATGATGCAAAACACAGAATTATGAGCAACAAAATCCTGATCATAAGCTTATAAGCTTATAAATGTAGTGCTGTTTTACTGTTTTATTGCACTGTAATCTACCTTGAGATTATAGGATGAAGGTCTGAAAATTCTCTTATAAGTAAATAATCTAAAGATACACAGGAAACAGCTTTATGTTGAGTCAGAGTTTTGGACGATTGAATTCAATATTGCATTGAATAGCACTGGCTCTCCAGGGCTTTTGGGAGATGCAGGGCAGTGAACCTGAGGCATTCAGTGTGTTAACCACGTGGTTTTATCATTGAATTATGGCCCTTCCCTAAGAATACATGTTTACTCACTTTAAAGCTTTAGGACAGAAATGCAAGTGAGTTGAAGAGATGCAGTCTCAAAGTCCAACTGTGGTAATCAAATGGTGAGTGTAGCACACTCTGAGACACACTGGGAGGAGGAGGAAGAGAGATACTAAATGCTGTTGCCATGGAAAATCTCTGCACAATAGGGAGGACCCGGATTGCCAATTGTGCTAGATGTTGGAGCCAGGGTGTGAAGAGAAACCAGGTGGAAGCAACTTCCCCAAGGGAACAAGATACCGTGTAAGACTGCCTTAAAAGTGCTGTGTGAGATTTTGATCTCAGTGAGTGGAAACTAAGCTTCCACTTGCTGATACGTTCCGTTAAGAAATCTCACAGAATTATGGCTGAGCTAGTAGAATTCCTCAGACTGCATTGCTTCACACATGTCCACAGACAGGACTAGAGATGGAGGAGAAATTCACATTTGAAAGCAAGCTTATTAATTTTTCCAAAACAAAAAGTGAACTGAAACACAGCTATCCTCCAAAATTCACACGTCTCTGGATTTTACAACACAGTTTTCCAGCCAAGTAAATTATACAACTGTGTATGTACTGGGGAAACTCTGCATAAAAGGCATGCATTAGTGAAAATAGCATACAGAAATGCATTGTATTGAAGAAAGTTGCATACAAAAATGTGTATATTAAGAGAAATTCAAACTAAAATGCTGATGAATTTCCATGAGGACATTCTGTGTGTGTGTGTGTGTGTGTGTGTGTGTAAGAGAAACCAAAATTGACTGATTTGCCCACCCTTGGACAGGACAGATGCTATTTATTCTCCCACATGTCCCCTCACTTCTCACATACACACTCATCAGTGGCGTGGGATAACACAACCTGAAGGCTGTGCTTTCAACATCAAGCACCACACTCAAGTTCTTCAGAGGTGAAACTATCACAACACCAGACAGTGGCTGTATCAATGGCATTTCACCATACAAGTGAGCGCTGGGCACAATTTTGGCTTTAGGCACGATCCCTGGAATGCAACCTTGGTGCATGTTGCAGGCTTACTATATGCCAGCTGCTTCACATACCAATTGGGTGGGTTTAAAAGAGGTTCAAACAAGTTCGGATCCTGCTTGAGGGCAGATCCCACAGGCAACTGTTTGGCCACCCTAAGAACAGGATGCTGGACCAGATTCTGCAAGCCGTTCCTGTGTTCACTTGCTGGAGTAATACAATAAATGCTTGGACTTTAGTGACCAGAGCAGGCCTGGCACCCTTACCTTTTATGACAGACCCCTTCGTTTCTGATTTTAGAAGATTATGAGGCTAAAATGGAAGAGAATAGTGGGTCTGTAGATTTCATTAATCAACAAACTTATTCCCTCCCTCCTTCCCCATCATTTGGAAGAGTTGTGTCACAGGCTCCTTCCACGTGGCCTAAATCTCCAGACCTTACTGAAGCAATTTGGCTTTCCTTGCCAGCAGGGCCCATAATTATACTGTGGTTTCCTTGGGCACTCTCTTTTGGTATGCAAACCATGGTGTCGCCTGACTTTATGACTTTGACAATTCTTCTGCAGGTGTTTTCTGTCGTTTGTTGGGGTTTTTATACTCACACGGAAAAAAGGCAAGGAATGTTTGAGAAGTTTTTATATCGACTATGGACAGATTCCTGGTAAGTTTTATCCTGGAAATATTTTGCCTGTCATCTCTATCCACACAACTGAAAAGCATCCATGAGCAAAATAGTCAAAGGGGAAAAAAACAAACCCACATCAGATAGCTCTTCCAATCATGTTTAATAAAAATTGCTTCCCCTTAATTTCTCATCCCATTTCCAGTAGGTTTTTCTTTTTTAAAAACCTCCGAATGACTTCCATCCCATTGCCACAGTCTATCATAGCAAAACAAAATGAAGCCTGCAGTAAGAAGCCTTTTAAGAGGAACATAATTAAACTTGTTAGATTTGATTTATCATTGTTGCTCCGAGTCCTTTTTTTTTTTTTTTTAAACTTCTTCTTTTAATCCCACAGGAAAGGAGATGAGGAGTAAAATACAGCCAGATTCAACCAGCTTATCCTACGGCTCTTTATGTAATGAAGGTGACTCTGTAAAGACTCAAAGCTAAGAGAATAGAGCGTTTTAAATTCCAGTTAACAAGAGAAGCTTTCCATTTATTGGCTCCGTATTCAACACCACCCTTTTATCACACTTGTTCATTACGTGTCAAGTTATTTTATCCTGACAGTTCTTATGGTTATTTAATCCTCTTTGAGGATCCCCTGGCTATCACAAATGCATTGCGGTTTAAGCCAGCTATTGTGCCTGAAAAAAAGAAGCAGCAGCAAGCAAGCAAGCAGTCATTAAATGGACTCAGGGTGTTTTCCTTCTGCAGTGGATCTTCCTTGCTTTTCTGCAGCCAAAGTGGCTCAGGGCAGGTGGGGATGAGATAAACACACAATTGTGCAAACATTCTCCTTGATTTCCATTTGAGTGGAACAACGTGAGGGCAGCAAATCAGAATTGCGCCTGACCCTGCTCCTGCCAACCTAGCAGTTCAAAAGCACGTCAAAGTGCAAGTAGATAAATAGGTACCACTCTGGCGGGAAGGTAAACGGCGTTTCCGTGCGCTGCTCTGGTTCGTCAGAAGCGGCTTAGTCAAGCTGGCCACATGACCCGGAAGCTGTCTGTGGACAAAGGCCGGCTCTCTCAGCCAATAAAGTGAGATGAGCGCCGCAACCCCAGAGTCGGCCATGACTGGACCTAATGGTCAGGGGTCCCTTTATCTTTTTATGGTGGCCACTGACACATCAGACATACCCCCCCCCAATGCATCACAGAAAGGACAAGAGGACACAGATTTTCATTAAAAGGGCATATGCTAATTCTATGTTTAGATGCAAATTTAGAAATAATTTCTGTAATTTAAATAGAAATATAATACATCTTGCCATACTGGGGAAGACTGTCACAAGGTGACTTGTCTGCCTGCTCAGGCTGCTGTCCATACTGCTAATTGTTGGTGGGCTTAGAAGACCCTGTTGTCCCTTTTCATTAAGGGACTTTAAGGGGTTGTCTTTAAGCCAGACTTGGACCAGACAGGCCTTCAGACAGAGGCTTGGCTTGTAACCAGTCTTCAGACGCAGCACCTAGAAGGTGACAGTTCATCCCCAGCCTTTGAAGAAGAGGGGTATTCTCTGTAAAGTAAAAGCATAAGCCATCCTACGAAGAGCATATCCTCACAGTGTTAAGTCATCTGGAATAATTATTCCTCCTGGATCCAGGACTTGCATTGCCCAAGCAGTCCTTCACATCTTGGATGATCTGGAAAATGGCAAGCTACGTAAATCCAAAACTGTTGTTCCGCTTATGCAAGAAGACATGAAGGCTCTTGAGAACTGCTGTAGGACCTACCAATTATAGTTCTCCGCAAACCCTTAAGCATTTGCAGAACTGCACTATTTCCCTTCCAATCACAGTTTCTACGCGTCCAAGTTTGGATTCAAAGCCATGTGTAGAAAGCAATAGGATTTTTATTTTTTTTAACCCCTATCTTTAGTAACCTTTTCCAAAATCACTGGCTGGAGATGTTTCCTCTGTGGTGGGCAGCTTTGCCTAAGGATTTCCTACTGACCGGTCCATGAGGTCGGGGAGATAAGTGGAGGCATCTGCACTATGTCACAACCAGCCACCCCTGCATTATTAGAGCCAACAGCATCAATTTTGATGGTGTATGAACAGGGTGGGACCATCACACACACATTACCACTAGGTGCTGGCTGTGGAGATTTACCTTAATTGCCATAAATGGAATTGCTAACTTTCCAGGATTTCCCCCATAGGCAGCCCAAGACAATACTGTATACAAGGAAGATAATGGGATGGAAACCTGGCAATTCTGTTTAAGATGCTTGATATATTTTTCACATAGAATACAGCTCATCTGTGCTTCAGATGCTAACTAAAATTCAGAATGTTTGCGATGCATTTACTGCCTGCCAGCGGCGTTCATATGGCACTAGTGTTTCTCATCCACGATCATTTTTTTAGCTTGCTATATTAAAGAGACAAGAGTTTAAGCATATTTCTGGGCATGCTGAGCTGTTCAAAGAAATGTGCTGTTCTTAGCGCCAAGTTTTCCGTTCTGAATATTTGCCTATGGGTATCAGCTATCAGAACAATTGCCAATTGCCGTGCTATTGCTGTAGTGGACAAATGTTGTAAAGGCAGCCACAAGCAGATTCGTCTAGGGCAGAGGAGGTTTGCTCCAGGAGCAGCAGAACTTGTAACTCCAGGATTGGCAAGTGCATGCAAGGATGCTGAAGGTTGAAATCAACATGTTCACTTAGAATCTAGGCCAGAGCTTTCCAAACTGTGTCACGATACGTTAGTGTGTCGGCTGCAGTGTGTAGGTGTGTCGCACAAATGCTCCCCACACTCCTCCCGGGGCTGGTAAAGGGTTATGTTTAACCTCCGGTGTGCTAGTAAAACTGAATTACTGTGTTGTGAAATGATGCATGTCTAAAATGTGTGTCACCCACACGAAAAGTTTGGGAAGCTCAGATCTGGGCCTTGACTTCATCGCTGAAGCAAAGGCCGTGTGCCGCTTCACACAGAACATCAGAATGGTAGCGACTAACTGCATTCAGCATCATGCCAACTGCTCCGTCACTTTCTCTGTGGCTTCCTCGCTGGAAAACTGCCTGCACCTTTTAGCACCCTCCTGATTTCATGGTCAAACGAGGTCATGGTTTGTTTCCTACATATTGAATATAACCTGTCATTATAGTGAAGCACTGTGAGTCAAAAATTCTCCCTCTTCTAGTGCGATGGCTGAAGCTTATCGTCTGGTTCTGCTCTGTTGCTGCAGCCCCAAAAAGAATTAATGCAACCTTAGTAGCACTGGCTCACCCTTGTGTTGGCACAGTACTACAGGCTTGTCATGTGAGTGTGTGTGTGTGTGTGTGTGTGTGTGTGTGTTTCTTAGTTGTGCCTGTGCCTTTCACAGAAGCTTAAGCTGCAGGAATCAGTAGGTGCATGGCATGGAGACATGGATTATCACCTGCTAGTAGGCTGCAGGTTACAGCTACTATTAAAAGGCACAAGAGAATAAAAAGTGGCAACCTTTTAATATGCCAAAATGCCTTGTGCTGATTGCCCTTCGCCTCACTTTTTGGTTGCTGCTGATCTCCCCTGAGTAAAGTGGTGGGGAGGGACCAGAGGCACCAGCTTAGGCAGGTGATGGGGTGGACCGACGTCAGGACACTGGAAGGAGCCAGGGGTGGAGCTGAACACAGCAGCTGCTTGGCTTCAATGGCTGGTGGCAGTGCCACTGGCAGGCGGCTATTTCAATCCTCCTTCCCCTCTGCGGCAAAAGGAGGTGAAGGAGCCTCCATGCTTTCTGGACATGCCCAGCACCAGCCCCAAAAGCATAGGGGTCAAAAGGGCTTGGGCCCCTGGAACTGGTGTCCCTAGGAGGGACATACAGACTGACAAAAGGGAGAGGTATCCATCTCTGTTATTCTGACATTTACTCCTTCAGACATAGCACCAAGGCACATAGCCTGCTGCTACTTGCAGAGGCATATCTGGGTGCTGCCCTTTCCCAGAGATTGCTCAAAGCTAATGTGCATTATATTTTACCCTTCTAAATTTGATGCATTGATGCTTCATGTTCTTAGCTGGAGAAAGATTGTTTTATTGGAGCTGCTTAAATGTGTAATTCATTTAGTTCTTTGACGTTAGGTGAATGATACATTTAATTAATTCTGTAATCATCACCACCAACACCATCATCATAAAGAGGGACCTGGAACTTAGATGCGGAAACATCTAAAAAAACCAACCATGTACTGGCAGCATTGCAAATTCACCATTCAATCCACAACCATGTTGGCTCTTAAAAAGTCAGCACCCTGATCGCCCTGCAGCTCCCTCTAACATAACATTAATGAATCTAGAGTGTGTGCTGCCATACAATGAGCTATTTTACAGAAGAGATTTAGGGGAGTTTCATGTCATCCTACTGGCCCCAACACCAGCAGTCCCCATCCTGGAAGAAGCTCCACATACTGAACAAGAACTGGGCACAGGAAGAGCAAACCGGAGGATACATGAGAATGCCATCCTATATTATTTATGTTTTCTAGGCACATGGGGCATATTCAACGAAACAGTTGGGCCTATGGTAGCCAGTTCAATGAGTCACACTAGCGCAATGGGACTTCTCAAAAGCTTGCGTTGACAGAATGACTGCAATAGCGCAATGTTGACTTCCGCCCATGGGGTTGTATCCAGTTCTAGCCCTATTCAATGTAAACCCATTGACATGAATAAACATGACTAACTTAGGTCCATTAATTTCAATGGGTCTGCTTGGAGCAAAACATAGCTGGCTATAACCCACGCTTAGTGCTCTGAATAAAGCATGCAACAGGAATCCAAGAACCTGCTTGCATTCCTCTGCCTACGGTGCACATGTGCATAAAAGAGGGGGGAAACTGCATGTGCAGCTCACACTAGATGAAGAGCATCACTCAGAAAGCCCAGCCCACATGGCTCTTGCAACTGATCCCAGGGCTGCATTCACACAGTCCTAGCAGAAAATCGGCAATAGCACCAAGCAGCTGCTTAGGAATGAGAGCAGGTGGGTGAGCTTTGGTCCCTGGTCCTAAGAACACATCTAAGAAATATTTTTGTCAGAACATCAAAGACGCTTTTGTTAGTCTTTAAGGTGCCACAGGACTCTTTGCTGTTTTTAATGTAATGCGTCCAGGATTACATTGCAAATCATTTGAATTAGCAGAACGGCAATATCATGACTAAAATGCTTACTTTGACCGAATTCCCAGCAGACCTTTTCTCCGCTGTCCAGCTTTGCATGTGTTCCTTGAGAAGCCTACAGCGATTTGCTCTGCGATTGGGATGACTCATTTGCTAATGGCTATTTTGCGACCAAAACCTCTTCCAGTGAACCAGGGTTACTGCTCTTTTCCACACATAACATGAAAAATATCCTTCCACCAAGCAAAGTGAGCTCTAGCACATCTGCTGGAACTTGGCTCTCGTTCACTTAAGCATTACACATGCCCTTTGGTAAAGCAAAACACCTGTTGCCTGCGCACAATTTAGCCCCAAGCGCTCTAAATGTTTCTCTGAGGAGGAAATCCATCCAAACCACTGATGGGGAGTGACAACCTTGGCATTCTTTTCTACTCCATTTGCTGGTGTGCCATTTATTGTACTCTCCAAAGAGCCCTGCGGTCTTTAGCCTAGTTTTTGCCCCTGTAACGAAAACAAAATGGGTTCACACAATGCCAAAAGCAAACAGATTCTGCATTTCCCATTTATTAAGTTCTCTCGTTTCCCAAGTGGGAGCAAAATTCCCTCTTTTCCCCCATGTCACCATTCCAGAGCCTTAAGAACGTACGTGGTAAATAAGGTTGGGGGGAGGGAGGGTTAACATTCTACACTTTGCAACGTGATATGGTTAAATAAGCTGCTATGCTAATCTAGCCTGTATTTTGTTTCTGGTGCGAGGCCAAAAATTTACTCGTACTTAAATATTTTATTTTTAGAAACATAAGCTAATCAGTAAGAGTGTGCCAGAAGTCCGTTTCAGGCCAGATCGTTTGAGGAATAAAGTTACTAGAATGTATTTTTGCTGACATTTTGTGAGGTTACTGGTGTTTCCTTTCACTTAGACCCCTGCGTGGTGAGAGTTCTGAAGATGACCATGTCGAAGCATAACTGCGAGACAGGTTGAGCTTCTACTGGCTGTGGTAAATCGTTGTTCTCAGCATGAGGAAGGGGGATGCTGGAGAAATGTTTGCCAGATGAAAGTGAAGGTCGCCTTTTCTGTTGAACTTCCGTCGAAAACAAACATTTAGAATCCACGCTTGGATTCCTTGAAAGCTGTGTGTATCCCAAAATCAGGCCCATGCACTCACTAAAGTTGACGAGTTTTTTGAGACAGGGGAATATGAGTAACTGCTTCCCTCAACCACCTAAAGAACATTGAGCATGATGCCCATGACCACCCAAGCACACTGTTTGTCCAATTCTCCTGGGGCTCCTGAGAGTATGCACCTGAAGCAGTTTCAGCACTGTGGGAAAATCTTATGGCAGTTGTGTGCAGAAGAAGAAGAAGAAGAGGAGGAGGATGAGGAGGAGGAGGAGAAGGAGGAGGAGGAGTTTGGATTTGATATCCCGCTTTATCACTACCCGAAGGAGTCTCAAAGCGGCTAACATTCTCCTTTCCCTTCCTCCCCCACAACAAATATTCTGTGAGGTGAGTGGAGCTGAGAGACTTCAAAGAAGTGTGACTAGCCCAAGGTCTCCCAACAGCAGCTTGTGGAGGAGCGGAGACGTGAACCCGGTTCACCAGATTATGAGTCTACAGCTCTTAACCACTACACCACACTGGCAAATCTTGTCAAGCTCAAGTGCCATGTTTAGGAACTGGCTTTAAGAATAGTGTCATGTGAGTTGCCAGGGACTTGTAGGGACTACAGCAATGCTTGCATCCAGGCTGCTGAAAATCCCAAATGAAGAACTCCAAGCATGTGTAGGACTCTCCGCCATCCTTAGAACAGGGAACAGGGGACAGCTGGTAGAATACGTATAACCTTCACTGCTTATAAAAGCTCTTAGCTGCATTTCATTGCCTCATTTCCAAAACAGATCTATCTACATATGCTAAAATTGCCCTCCTCCAGAGTCCTGAGGCACAACTGGGACAAGCAAGTATTTTAATGCTCTTGCTTTAAAATTTATGGCCGAGGCTACAGCGCAGCTTTTTTCCCTGGCTGCTCCAGCTAATAAAAGTGGCTCTGATGTGATCTGTTTGTCTGTTTGCTCCATCTACAATATTATTCCAACAATGTCACCACAGGCAGTAATGATACATTCTGTTAATAATAATAAAAAAGGAACCAAATGGAGATATTTTTACAAGATAAAATATAGCACACAATTAAAATTCCCCTTCGAAATAAAAAAAACAACAACAAACATCTGTTTTCCTAATAGCAGGGTTGTATCAAATCTATCTTGTAAAAAGAAGGCATTCCTGACCTTTGGGAATTTAAAAATCCACACATTTTTATAGCCTTCTGCAACCATAAATAAGTAATTTGCATATTCCCCAGCAGACATAGACAAACCATCTGCACTGGGAAGCAACAGCCTCCAAAACTTGTAGATTCCTCAATGGATGCCAAGATGCTAGAATCTGCATGTAGACATCTTTGAGCAATGGGTTTCCATGGGCGACTTCTGAGTAAGAGGGGCCCACATCTTGGCAAAGGAATATGTGGCTCACTTTCTTTCTGCTTTGGATCTCACTATGCAATTGGGGGGACGGGCATGGTTATGTTCAGTGCTATTTTTCGAGAAAAGAGGTGCCAGAACTCACCATGAACACCTCCCATGTTGTGTTATAATGGCAATGGCGCCCACCTAGTGGCATAGCGGTGGTTGCCAGTGCCCGGGGTGGGTGCATGTCAGGCAGGGTGTGCCATCCCAGCCCTCACCGCCACTGCCAGAGTGACCCCACTCCCACTGGAGCAGAGCAGGGCTGTGCTGAACCGCTTGCCCTCCAGCCCCAGGGGGGCAGGAGCCTGGCCGGCTGACATGGCCCCTGGCAGGTGGGTAGGGCCACATTGGGGCCACCTGCGTGGGCGTGCCTGATTCACCCCCCCTTAAAAATTGTGCACCTGGAGCAATGCCTCTCCCCCAGCACCCCCCGTGTCTCTGTGCCCACCTGAGAAGTGCCGAAACGGAGTTCTGGTGAGTTCCAGCTGGGGGAAAAAACCCTTGTTATGTTCATTTGGTTCACTCATTTATCTGACTTTTGTAAAGCCTTGTTCTGCATGTGGGATGGCTTTGCCCAGTGGCCCATGGCCTAGAAAGAGGTGGAGAGGCAGAGTTCATTTTTTAAAAAGCAGAAGTTGGTAAAATAAGAAGAGCCCTGCTTGTTCAGACCACTGGCCAATCTTGGTCTACCATCTTGTTTCTTATCCAACAACCTGTCGCTCCTTCACAGTTTCTCTGAGCCTTTGAGTTCACATCCAATGCTATGAACAAGAAATATCTATTATAATTATTTATATCCCGCCTCTTAAGGAGACAAATCCTTCCAATGTGAGTTGCAAGCAAAATCAAATTACCTTGATAGAATCACAAGGAAGCATTATCAAAGCGTCTGCAGATGTTAGTCTGTGGGCAGAAAACTGCAGCGAACAGGAAGCCACGGGCTCTTATGCTTCCTGTCCCCACACCCCCGTGCCCCCTTATGCCCCCAAATCACTATGAACACATATAATTTATAAAGAAAATTCAGCTCTACAGACTCTGCATTCATTTGACAATTGCTCTTAACTCCCACTGGATGACGGGCAAACAGGAACTCAAGACACATGGCACTTAAAGGTTGCTTAGTTACAATCAACATGCTTTCTGTGGGATTAAAAGTAGATTTTTTGAAAATCTGATTACAGAGCGTATTTAAGTCCTTCCCTGTACTCGTCCTGATGTTCCTATGCATCTCTTCATCTGCTTTCCTTTGGAAAGATCTGGTTATAGTTCTTAGCTAATTTGATACATTTTTGTGATATAATTTGAAGTCCCTTGATATATTTGCCAACTAACTTACAAGAACTATTGCACCGCAAAAGTATTCGGGAAGCCTGGATGCAATTAATATGCTGACAAAATGGCTTGCAGAAAGCAGTTCTGGTTTCGTTAACTCTTTAAACTTGGCAACAGACTAAAACACCTCAACCAAAGTGTCCGCATTACCACAGCAAGTTGGTCACGTCTTTTGAAAGCCACATTGCATTGGGGAATACTAATCTAGGGGGAGTCTCTAGGTGTGTGGACCACATGTGCTGTTTTGCATATGACAGTCTGCTGTGTGGGCCTGGTCTTATGTGCGAGGCAGTGCTGCCAAGCATAGCAATAATCAGCCCAGATGAGACAAACTACTGGTGGTCATTTCTAGTAGACTTCTTTATTAAGCATTTGTCCTGATTTGTTTGCACAAAGCTTGTGGGGAGGTTATACGGTGTTGGCTGCTTATGGAACATCCGTGCCAATTTGTTTGTGGGGAGGTTGTACAATGCTATGCCAAGCAATTGTTATCCCACGATTTTCAGTTTGCTTTCCTTCCCACAAAAAGTCCAGCTTCTGGATTTTGGAAGCAGTGTCATTGGGCAATTGTACAACCTGAACTTGCCCCTATTGGACAGAATCACACCTGCACAATAGTGACATTTTGGAAACATCCTTGGTCAAGTTGGGACCAAATCTAACAAAACTATGCAACTTGAGAGGAGGGGAAACACCTGATGTAACTGTGAGCCCTTGTGTGTAGCTGTTGACACTTAGCAGAGAGGTCTCAGCTCAGCATTAAGATCCTATCCTGGCACCATTGCTTTTTTCACTGTTATGGGCCATAGGCAACCATAAAGAAGTCACGGAGATAAATCTTCCAGTTTTAAAAAATGGCTCTTTCAAGTCTCAGACATCAACTGTGTCACTAGTGGAAAACAAGTTAGGAATCAAGGGGCTTATTATGACCGCAGCATAATTAGGGGTATTTTATTAAACTCTGTATAGACAAAGGAAGCTGCCTTCTACCAGACTATTTGTCTGTATAACCAAACAGTGTCTACTCTGAACCTGCAAAGTCACTGACAGACAGGCAAGATCTCTTAAATTACCTTAATCTTTTTAACTGAAGACGCCAGAGCCCTAACTCACCAGCAGAACACATGCAGAAGGATCCAAAGCCCACTTCTCAGCACTTCAGGTGGAAAGATAATTGTCTGAAGCCTTAGGGAACTGACACTCATTATCTACATGTGCTTCACATGTTTTTATTATTTATTTAATTTATATACTGCCCTATACCCAGAGGTCTCAATTCCCATCAGAACCAGATAGCAAGGCCTGGTGGGAGTTGTAGTCAAACAACAACTACTAATTATTATTATCAATAATCAATAACCATTCATAGTTATCAATAACAATTCATTTAAAACAACCTACAATCACCAAAATATGGTGAGTACTTTACTCAAAAGATACATCTCAGGCAATTGCCTCTCTCCATAAATACTATCGCTGTTTAAATATTCAGAAATGGTTTTTTCGGTCACCTGTTTCTAAATTCACACTTCTTGCTAAAATATCAACACAGAAAAAATATAAGTGTGAAGGAACTCTCACATTCCACGTAATTCTACCTAAATAGCCATTAAGTGTTTATTTAAAAAGAAAAGAAAAAAACCACCAACCACTCACAGAAAGCTACATTTTCAACATTGCCTCAGGCAACAAGAATTCACTTAGGAGGCCTACTACCTCAAGCAATTCAGAACTAGAAAAATATCCTAAAAGTGGGCAGCAGGTCAGAAGCGGTGAATTGTCCAAGACCTTATTTAAAACTTTTATACAGACACAACAGGCACTGACTCAGAGGAGTCATGGGTCTTTTTCAAGAGTGAGTTTCCAGATGAGACAGGCATTTGGTCAATAAAAAAGACAACATGTAGGATTTGAAATTCTATGTCAAAGGAAGAGTGCCAGGAAAGATGGTTCACCAAATATTGTAAAGTTCTGTGTTGGTCCCTGGCACTTATCTGAGAGTTATGAGGCAAGATAGTCTCCATTTAGTAGTCATGAAGCTCTTTGGGCTTTGACATTCATTCTAGGAAAAGGGACCCCTTTGCCATCTCAAGTACTGAGGAGAAGAAGAAGAAGGAGAAGAAGAAGAGGAGTTTAGATTTGATATCCCGCTTTATCACTACCCGAAGGAGTCTCAAAGCGGCTAACATTCTCCTTTCCCTTCCTCCCCCGCAACAAACACTCTGTGAGGTGAGTGGGGCTGAAAGACTTCAGAGAAGTGTGACTAGCTCAAGGTCACCCAGCAGCTGCATGTGGAGGAGCGGGGAAGCGAACCTGGTTCACCAGATTACGAGTCTACCGCTCTTAACCACTACACCACACTGGCTCTTTGTATGGATGCTAATATTGTAAACAGGGATGGGGGAAGCTGTGACCCTCCAACTGTTCTTAGATTACAATTCCCATCACCCCATGACCATTGGTCATGCTGGTAGGAACTAATGGGACCCGGAGCCCAACAATATCTGGGTGGCCACAAATTCCCCCATCCCTTATCTTAGCAGTAGCTTTGGCAAAGATTCCCCTTGCATCCTTTGCTGTGGTCAAGTTGGCTTTGTACCAGACCAATAAACCTCAGATATGACACTCTTCTTGATCATCCATGTTCACTACAACAGAAAAGACTTACCTTTTAGTGTCCCTCACCAGAGGGAGGGGGGGGGATGCTGTTGATGGATTTCCCTGGGAAGAAAGGCTGACTGTGAAACCACTCTGGAAATTGTAGCTCTGAGAGGGGAAAAGGGGGTCTCCCGACAACTCTTGGCGCCTTTAAGAAATTACACTGATTCCCATGATTCTTTGGGGGAAACCATGGCTGCTTAAAGAGGTATGATACTGCTTTAAATGTATAGTGCAGCTGGTAAAGGGCCATAAATGGCAACTCTTTAACAATAGGAAATAGCAACGCGTAAGCAGAAATGCTTGTGATATATATTCAGAGTGGGATATATATCACATAGCATTTCAGCTTATTCTGGCAACCAGATGGAGAGGACAACTCAGCACAGTCTTCTGATTGTTCTAGGGTGGACTCGATTTCTTGTCAAAAACCACCCCCATATAAAATTTTTTTTGCTCGGCTTTAGATTCATAGGCTGAAATGCCCTTCCTGCTCCACGTCAATGTGGCAGTGCAGTGTCAAATACCT